GTACAAGTCAGAATAAAACTGTAAAAAACGCGCATTTATTATTTTTGGGTTAAGTAATATATGTCCCCTGTCATCCCTAATCTTGTGAATAGCTCGGTCGGCTTCTATTTTTCTAAGTTGACGAGCTAATAATTTGTGAGGTTTCTCTCCGAATTCAAAGTATTTTTGTTTAATGAATAAAAAAGCTGAAGTAATTTTCCTAGAGAGAAGTTGATTGAGTTGATATTTCAGCTTAGTTATTTCTCAATGCAAGTCGGGAGTGGGATTTAAAGCATTCTGTCGGTCTAACTGTTGTATCTGTTCTTCAAGATGTTTACATTGAGTTACTTCTTTTTTCTTTTTGGCCGCTTCATATGAGATTACACATCCTCTCAGATAGGCTTTGAAAGCCTCCCATAAAGTGCATGATGTGACTTCTGGGGTATCATTGGTTTCAAAATATAATTTTATTTGAGCTTCAATGAATTCACAAAACTCCTTGTCTGTCAATAAATGAGGATTTAGTCTCCAAGATCTACTGGGTTGCCTTCCAAATTTAAATTGAATGTTAATGGGCTGTGGTCTGAGATTGATATGGTGTGATAATTCACATCAGTTGTGAATGGAACTAGTCGAGCGTCGATTAGAAAATAATCAATTCTACTATAAGAGTTGTGGACTGCCGAAAAAAAAGAATAATCCCTGCCAGATGGGTTGTTAAAACGCCATAAATCTATTAAATTCATACTTTTAAAGAATGAATTTAAAAGAACACATGAATTATTTTTGGGTATTTTACGAGAAGATGATCGATCAAGAAATGGGTCTAAAGGTGTGTTAAAATCTCCTCCTATTATTAACGTAGTCTGTGACAGATTGGGGAGTAAACTGAAGACTTTCTTAAAAAATGCAGGATTATCCATATTGGGAGCGTATATATTGACAAGAGTTAGAGATGTGTTGTATATCTCTCCCGAGACAATGATATAGCGACCATCTTTATCGGCTATGGTGGAATTATGGATAAAGGGTACCCCTTTCTTTATTATAATGGCTGCGCCTCTTGCTTTTGTGGAGAAGGACGTGTGGTATATCTCTTTTACCCATTTAGCTTTCAGTCTGTTATGAAAATTGTTTTTTAAATGTGTCTCTTGTAAAAAAGATATGTCTGAGTGTAATGACTTTAAGTGATTCAAAACTTTACCTCTTTTCACCGGGTTGTTTGCGCCCCGTATATTCCAACTTGTAAATGTCAGTCCCTTTTTAACATTCAGTACGTCCGTCATATGTAATAGGAAGGAAAATTGGCATATGAGTGAAATAGGAAATCAAGTATCTATGCATTATAGTGAAAGAAATCATCTTCAATTGCTGCACAAAATTTGTAATTCCGCATACTCACAAACACACAAATAGTAAACAACAAATAAATGAACAACATAAACTTAAATACCTTAGGCTAATCTAGAGTAGCCGCAGGAAAACAGTTAGCGGGAAAAAGCCAAAAAAAACAAAAACGAAACTTCCCTGTATGAGTAACCTAACTTATGAAGACTGTTACTCCCAAACTATAAAGTCATGGCCATTTGTAACACAGAACAAAATATTTGTAGGTTATATTTGAAAATAAGAACATGAGAAAATAAATAAAACCTGTATAGTAATCATACGTTGTAAAAGATTTGTAAACTTAACAATATATTCTTATATATTAATCTTACTGGATACCTCTAGAACAGAGTATAAAGAGATGGTGGAAAAGCAATCCATAGAGGGAAAGATGCTATTAACTTGAATAAACATTCGTAGCTTATTGACATAGTATAAGTCTGATACAAAAGTATCTCTCTACTTGTCTTCCTTGTTATCTTACCACAGTTTGTAAGGATCTCTGTCGAAGTAGGGTACATGATGTATTATCAGTCTTTTAACTTCTTCCAGTTGATCCCGGTGGTGTTGCCGTGAGACGCTCAGCATACTCCTCGGCTTTCTGCGGATCTGTAAAGGATGACTGGGAGCCGTTGTGAGTCACTAGGAATCTCGCTGGGTAAAGCAAGCCATATTTGACGCCGGGTTGGTTGCGCCGTAGTTGCCTGGCTCTGTTGAATTGCGCCCTTCGTTTTGCCACTGATGGAGGGTAATCGGGGAAGATGCTTATGGCTTTACCTTGATACTGGAGGTTTCTCATAGCGGCAGCTTTGCGGAGAATGTCTTCCAGGACGTGATAGTAATGAAGGCGTATTACGAATGGGCGAGGTGGGTCAGAGGGGTTCGAGCGTTGGCGAAGGGTTCTGTGGGCTCTGTCAATAAGCGGGGCCTCGTCCAACGAGAGTACGTCTTTCAACAAATTGGCAATAAAGTCCCTCGGTTTTGTCGTTTCCGAGCCTTCTCGTACACCCGTAATTCTGATGTTGTTTCTACGAGACCTTCCTTCTAAATCTTCGTTCTTTTGTTTAAGACTGACAACTTCAGCACTGAGATTAGCCACCTGTTGCTCAAGTTGGTTAATGCTATCAGAGTGTGTAGTGGTGGCCTCTTCTATGTCAGTGAGTTTAGCTTGTTGCATCTGAGATTTCGCTTCAAGATTAGCAATAGACACCTGGACGACGTTGTTAGCCGTAACAATCTCCTCTCTCAAGTCGTTGTACACACGCTCAATACGTTTGTCCAAATTCTCACAGATGTCATCCTTTATCTTGGTCATTTCACCTCTGAGTGCAGTAATGGCAGCGAGTAGCGCTCGGTTAGATGGATCCTCTTCATCACCGCTGGAGTCTTCGGTCTGTGTACCAGTCAAGGCCGGTGGTTGGTTGAGGCCTAGTTGAGTCGATTTTGGTTTCTTGGGTTTTTGTTTGCTCATGTTGAGATATCCAGTCGTGCTTGAAGTCTTAGTATTTTAAAAGTAAATGCGCTCTGAAAGCATAAAATCTACATAGTTGTTGGCTCTTGAAAGTAGTTTTTAGCGGATTTGGCTTACGGAGCTCTTAAAGACGCGTCTTACTCCGTCATCGCTCAGTGGCGCCCCCTCCGCTGTTGCTATTTAACCGGCGGGATAAATGACTCTTGCGCCTGGCGCAAATCTAAAAGGGGTTGGTCTGAAGTAGCTTCATTATTCATAGGTGTGGTTTGGGCGTAACGTGAAAACAAACCAATAAGAGCGTCATATCACATTCCCTTTAAGAGCATGATGAACGAGGCGCGCTTGTTCCATGGCGCAATACTATTATAACGCCGCATTTACCAGCGCGCTTCAGAATCGGTTCACAGCCGAGGAGATCGATGTTCTCGTCAGGGCCGTAAAAGAAAGAGAAGTGACATTGGGGGCGGGACAAACAGCCAAATTAGCTTCGGTTAAACATGCATGTAATAATTTGGGTAAATGTGTAAGCTTTATGCCTATTTTTTCCATCGTCATGGACACAACAATGATTTCCCTCATGTTTTAATAGTTTTCCTTAAAATAATGTATCATTTGCAAAAAGTAAAATGCATCTGTAAAATACAGTGTATGCGCGTTGTTCACACTCTGTATTATGGCCAAGCATGCGCGCTTAAAATAGCATCTGAATGTACGCGCAGCGCGCCACTGACTTTAGACTAGGCTTTTTCTGGTCAGTGGCGGAATCGTTTTCTGGATCTGCAAAATAGCACTAGGGAATGTTTGCGCCGAAACACGCCTCCTTTTTTGCGCCGACCCGCCCAGGGAGCGCAAGTTCATTCCCTAGTTTGCCGGCGTGTGTCTGTGGAGGGAAAAGCCCGCTTTGCTCGGGTGCAAAATAGGAATGATACATGCGTCGGTGTACAAAGTCAATTGCGCCGGGTGCAAGATAGGGCCCACGATCTTTTGGGTTGTTCTGCTCAGGAACAGCTTTCAATCTTAACCTCTGATTCCTAATTTCATGTGTTTTCTGAAGGCCAAACAAAGCGGTTATACTTTTGCATCCAAACACACAGCATCTTCTCTCTTTGTGTATGGCGAGTGTTTCAATGCAAAATGTTTAAAAAGGTTTTATACTTTAATATTCAATTTCTCTTTGGAGAATTGGATAGGATAGCCGACAGTTGCGCTGAATCGTTATAATATATTAAAATAACAAACTAGCATTTGTGTTTCCTGATAGGCTAAATATTCCTCCTCGTTGTGGATCTGCTTCGGTATGTTATGAATATAGCTTGTATAACGGCTAGAGTTTGGTCTGTTGGGCAGTCAGTGAGAGTGTGTGTGTGATGCTAATGAGTGTGTAGTAAGGTCTGAATGCTGACGAATGCCTCTTCGTCCCGGCTGTGCTGCGTTGGCTCTTTGATCCTGTTACCAGGTCGTGGCTTTGGCCACAGTGGAATAGTTCCACTTAGAGCGTAAGTAGGTATGGCCCCTAAAATTAGCCACTAAGGCATTTGACCCTTAACCTTCTGAGTAAAGACGAGCTGAGACAAATGTCATCTTTGTCATAAAAAACAACAACTAAATGACCATTTGACATGAACAGTAGAAAGACAAATCTCATGAAAACTGGCAAGAAATTGTTGTTTTTGAATATGCAGTTTCACTCAGAAATAAGTCACATTATGGACCTACAAGGAATTGCATTTCATGTCGACTTGAAGACAATTTATATTTTTTAGCTTAACTATTTTTATAACAAATTCATGACACATTTAAACCACGTCCCTCACTTATCAGTAATGTACTGTAGTGTTAAATGCTTTTGTCATCTTTGTAAAATGTATGTATTTGTTTATTTAAATGGTAATGTGTGCATGTATCATAATAGTGTTTGTTTCATGCATTTATTTATTTATTTGTTTGTTTATTTATTTGTTTGTTTGTAAATCTAAAATTTATTGTACTGTATCTTGTTGCAGGATTTTTGCAGAATTAGATATTTTTGATCAGTAGTATATTACATCTATATGCATTTTCAATGTTAAATTCTAAAACATGGAATAGGGTGCGCGACCCTCTGCTTCTGCATGTTTGGTTGCAGTTTATAGGTATTTTACCTTTTTTTCTGTTACTTTAGGTTGCGTTTGAAACCCCGCCCACAGTAGTAGATGAGGCCCCTGCTAAGGGGGAGGAGACTCCTGCAGAGTGGGAGGAGTCCCAAACAAATGTAAGGCTTGAACAGGGCACAAGCCCCGCCCACCAGGAAGAGCAGACCACAGAAGAGCGTCTTCAGTTGCTGGTAAGAGTCACATGATCACTGACCTAGAGATGCACATACACTTACACTGACATATCAGGCATCAAATACTCTTATATGCACTCCCAGAAATGTCACAAAACCTGAATTCATGTGAGCCTGGGACAAATAAATGAATGAAATTGGTCTGACAAATACATATACAGAGGATTTCCACAGTCATGTAAAACCTGGAATTATCAGGGAATTTAGAAATGATGATGGAAGTCTTCAAAAATTCTATAGTGGAAATATACAGTAGCCAACATTTGAAGTTCACCATGAAAGGTTTTGATCCACTTCAAACGTTGACTACTGTGTATATAGATATATATATTATTTTCTAGTTTTGTTCAGCTGCAAAATATTGTATTTTAGCTTTTAGAAATTGCTGTTTTCTAAATTATTTTTAAACTGTATATCCACCTTATTCCTGACGACCTTATTGCGTTTTGAATTATGGGCGGCACTTCCGGTTTGGGGAACTTCCATTCAAAAAGGCTGAAACGAATCATTTCAAATCATAAGGTTGTCCTACAAATAAAGCTGATCCGTCAGTTTGACTGGATGAGCGGTCAATTTTCCTTCATGATTTATTTTCAGACATCATGAGAATAACATTATACTTGGTATTTTAACGTGACATGTTATAACAAGAATATCTACGGCAAGAGCTCTTTTCAGTCGCTGCTTTCTTTTCCTCATGATGATTTTTATTTTTTCCTTTGCAATCCGCTGTAAAAGTATGAAAAAAGTACAACATATACGGCACATTTGTGGTCTGTTCTCCCAAATTTAATTTACGATAATAATTCACTGGAATGCACGAAGAATATCTCGTTATTCTCCTTAAATCCTCACGTTTCTTTCCAGGTTTGTTTTCACAGGTAAATGAAATTTATAATCTGTCAAAATTACGGAAATCACTTTGATATAGTGTCACGAAATGCTGAAGTTAATGAACATTTTTGATTAAGGCTTGTTATACAATAGGTATATTTGCCTACTACAGTGATATTTAACCAAAGACTCGCGCGTTTGGGGCTATTTTTGGTCTGTTGACCTTGTTGATTATTTTAAACTTTTAAATTTCATTTTAATGTTCGATGGTTAAAGGGTGAGTCGATTAATGTCTCATTGTGACACTTTTTTAACGTATTGCGTTCATAGAGCGAGCCTTTCACTGATTGTTTACAGCTTAACGGAAGTTACACCCATAATTCCCGCAAAGCGTCATGGGGTGTAGGAATAAGGTGGATATGTGTGTGTATATATGTGTGTGTGTGTGTATATATATATATATATATATTTTTTTTTTTTTTTACAATCATGAATGACTGCTTATCATGTTATTCATGCTATTCAAAACATTCTATGCTATTCCTGTTTCTGAAAAGTTCTATGATGTCTCTGTAGGAAAGTGAGTTGGGCAAGAAGAGGAAAGAATGTGAAGTTCTTGAGCATGAGGTCCGGAAGAGACAGAAACGATGTCTCGATTTGGTGAGTGTGATTCTCTTTATTTTAATGCTTACAGTGCATGTCTCCTGATAGCTTGATAACTCCTTGATAACTCGCTCTGTGTGTGTGTGTGTGTGTGTGTGTGTGTGTGTGTGTGTGTGTGTGTGTGTGTGTGTGTGTGTGTGTGTGTGTGTGTTCACAGGAGAACCAGCTAGTGGACGAGCGCAGCAGAAATGAGCACTTAGTAGAGGAGGCAGAACTCCTCAGGAGAAAGGCTCAGCTGCTTGACCAGGTGAAACGCTCTCCACTAGACGTATAAAGTTATCAAAGAGGACCTAATATGCTTTTTTACATTTCTATAGTGTGTAATGTTGCTGTCTGAGCATGAACAAGCTCTGAGTTCTTCTCTATATCAGTGTCAGTGTTTCTGAACTCCTGAAACGCCTCCATTGTAGTCTTGAGTTTCTCCCGGGAACGAACACGTCACAATATTCCTCATTATAATAATTCATACGCAGAATAAAGGGGCGGGGCCTGGTTGAGTTAGTTAGTAGTGTGTTAAACTGGCGGTTATGGGAAGGGGCGGGACATTTCCCAAACACACTCGAAGCGCTCGACCAATCACAACACACTGCTCCAGCCGACCAATTAGAGCACAGTGTGCTTTCAGAAGGAGGGGCTTCATAGAGACAGGAAGTAAACAGAGCGTTACTGACAGACTGGGAAGAGAGGAGCCGCAACAATGGAGAAAATGAGGAGAATAATCAACATTCAAGCAGGAAAACATGTTCTAGTAGAGCCTGAAAGGGCATAATAGGTCCTCTTTAACACTTGTGTGCCCCTATAGCAGGCCTAGCTATAACCTATGTTGTCAGTGGGTTGTTTAAGTAATTTACCGTCTGATAATTAGCAATTGATTTAAGAATACCAGGGCTGAATCCGAAATCGGTCCCTATTCCCTACATTAGTCCACTAATACAGTGCACTTGAATGACTGAATAAAAACGAGGGAGTGAATTCGGACGGTCGTTGAGTGTACATTGGCTGTACACGAGTTATTGAGTGCACTTAATAACGTCCACTATGGTTTCGGACACCACTACAAATGGATGTCCCCTCGAATAATTCCCTATATGAGGGTAAAGGGGACGATTTCGGATTCAGCCCAGGTCTTTAAATTGAAAATTAAGGTTTTTATGATCCCCTTGGTATTAAAAACCAGTGTAACCATATGAAAATAATCAACCTGTTCTAGTAGAGCACAAAAACAACATTAAGACTTTAAAAATGGGCATAATAGGTTTTCTTTAGCACTTGTTGCCCCTATAGCAGGGCATGTTAGGGGCAACAAGTGTTGTCAGTGGGTTATTTAAGTCATTTACCTGCTGATACCAATTCAACAATACCAGTTTTTTTATGCTCCCCCTGGGTATTAAAAACCAGTGTAACCATATAATGTTTCTGGTAACACTTTACAGTAAGGTCCCTTAGTTAAAACTACGTTAGTTAACAACATGAACTAAGAATGAACAATACTTTTTTCAGCATTTATTAATCTTAGGGCCCTTTCACACCTACCTTGTTTGGTCCAGACTTTTCAGTTTGGTCCGAATCAAAATTACAGGTGTGAAACCTCCCCCGGACCACGGTCCGGACCAAACAGATGAAATTTGGTCCGACGAAAAGAGGTAGTCTCGGTCCGGATCAAACTGAACAAAGGTTTGGCTCGTTTCTAGTGTGAAAGCATTTCTGTATGGTTCGGACTTTCAGACCTTTTACAGGACGCTCCGGTGGTTCCCAAATAGCTGAAAAACAGAAGGTGGCAGGAAAAATGAGCCGTGGCAGCACATGGGGAGAGGAGGAGACGAGGTTTTTAATTAAAGTATGGTCTGATGACATAAGAAGAAGTCAACTGGAAAAAACACACAAAAATGCAGACACTTTCCAAATATTTTCGGAGAGGATGAGAGAGGACGGGAGATACGCGTCTGTTCATTCATGTTGTCAAAGTTACGCGCCGAATTGACAACACGCTGACGTCAGACGCACGTCCATTTACAAACCAATCAATTTCAAGATGCAGCCCACATAGATGATGACGATAATGTCACGTTAAGTTCTTTAGTGCGCTCGCATAATTGCAGTGTGAAACCAAACCAAAACTTTCTACAAGTATAAAATGTATCAAACCGTGAACTTTGGTTCGGACCTGAAAACACCCTGTTAGTTAATATTACTTTCAACATATACTAATACGTTATTAAAATCAAAGGTTGTATTTGTGAACATTAGTTAATGCACTGTGAACTAACATGAACAGCTGGATTTGTATTAACTAACTAACGTTGTTATTTCATGTTAGTTAAAGGGATAGTTCACTTTGAAATTCATTTTTGGTATGTTTTAGCTTACCTCAAGGGCATCCAAGATGTAGGTGTCTTTGTTTCCGCAGTAGTTTCAATTTTGATATTTTTAGGTCAAACCGTTCTTGTCTGTCAGTCATATAATGCAGGTCTATGGTCACCACCTCAAAGAGCATGCACAGAGAAGTCCAAATTAAACATGATTTAATGACTCGTAAATGTAAGTACACATTGATGGCCTAAGACACGAAACGAGCGGTTTGTGTGAGAAAACCAACAGTATTTATATCGTTTTTACCTCTTGTAAACACAGCCACGTCCAAGTGATCTGAGGGCGCCGGCGCTTCGGTCTGTGCGTTACAAGAGGTAAAAACGATATAAATACTGTTGGTTTTCTCACACAAACCGCTCGTTTCGTGTCTTAGGCCATCAATGTGTACTTACATTTACGAGTCATTAAATCATGTTTAATTTGGACTTCTCTGGTCATGCTCTTTGAGGTGGAGACCATAGGCCTGCATTATATGACTAACAGACAAGAACGGTTTCAAAATTGAAAATACTGCGGAAACAAAGACACCTACATCTTGGATGCCCTTGAGGTAAGCTAAAACATACCAAAAATTTATTTCAAAGTGAACTATCCCTTTAATACATGAACTACTGCTAACTAATAAACCTTATTGTAAAGTGTTGCCATGTTTCTGTAGTCTCAGGCTGAAAATGAGGAGCTAAAGGAACAGCTCTGTGTTTTGAGCGCTCAGCATAGTTCAGTACTGGAGGAGAACCAGCGACTCCGTGCAAAGCTGGAGAACCTAGAGCAGGTCCTAAAGGTAACACACACACACACTCCTGTCAGAAACCTGTTTACTCAGCGTGCCCACGTGTGGTGTGTGACTGGTTCGTGTTCTTGTGTCGTGGCAGCACATGCGAGAGGTCGCCGATCGCAGGCAACAGCTGGAACTGGAGCATGAACAGGCACTGGCAATCCTCAAGTTCAAGCAGGATGAAATCAAGCGGCTTCAGCGGGTCAGTGTTTAAGTTTTTGTGAAAAAAGTTCAACTAAAAATCTTAATTGTCTTCAAGTCGACATGAAATGCAATTCCTTTTAGGTCCATAATGTAGCCTATTTTCTGAGTGAAACTGCATATTAAAGGGTTAGTTCACCCAAAAATGATGTCATTAATGACTCTCCCTCATGTCGCTCCAAGCCCGTCAGACCTCCGTTCATCTTCAGAACACAGTTTAAGATATTTTAGATTTAGTCCGAGAGCTTTCTGTCCCTCCATTGTAAATGTGTGTACGGTATACTGTCCTTGTCCAGAAAGGAGATAAAGACATCATCAAAGTAGTCCGTGTGACATCAGTGGGTTAGTTAGAATGTGTTGAAGCATCGAAAATACATTTTGCTCCAAAAATAACAAAAACTACAACTTTACTAATAATAATAATACATTTTATTTATATTGCGCTTTTCTTGTACCCAAAGCGCTACAAGTACAGTACCAAAGTAAATACATTAACAATTAAGATACATTAACATACACCAATTAAGACGAAAACACCTTGTTAAAAAAGATGGGTTTTTAACAGTTTCTTAAAACTCGTTAATGTTGTAGCATTCCTAACAGTTAAAGAAAGTGCATTCCACAACCTGGGGATTGCCACAGAGAAAGCTCTTTCACCCATTGTTTTCAGTCTGGAGAAGGCTGTTTGAGTAGAAAAGAGTTGGCGGAGCGGAGAGATCGAGAGGGTATATATGGCGTAATTAGATCACATGATGGTGCAGTTCCATGTACAGCCTTATACGTTAAAATAAGAGTTTTAAAATCAATACGGGCATGTACCTGAAGCCAATGCAGGTTCCTAAGGAGACCCAAGATATGCTGATGAAAAGGAGTGTGTGAACCATGCTTTCTAATAATCTGCCCTAAAGGAAGCATGTAAATATTAAAAAGTATTGGGCCAAGGACAGAGCCCTGAGGAACACCATGACATACCTGTCCAACGTTAGATTTATTATTTTCTAAAGTGACAAACTGGGTACGATCAGTGAGGTAAGATTTAAACCACTCCAACACTGTACCGGAAATACCAAGCCAAGTCTCGAGTCTCTCAATCAATATAGAGTGACACACCGTGTCAAAAGCTGCACTCAAATCTAACAGCACCAAGATAGTAAGGGCACCAGAGTCAGCAGAGACGAGGAGATCATTCATAACTCTGACCAAGGCAGTCTCAGTACTATGTCCTGATCGAAAACCAGATTGAAAAGGTTCTAAAAGCTCATTCATGGACAAGTGAGAATGAAGTTGTGACATAACAACACGTTCCAAAACCTTCACCAAAAAAGGAAGATTAGATATTGGCCTGTAATGAGACAGATCAGACACATCATACAATTCAGCATTGTATTGTCTTCCGGTTCTGTTGTCGATCCGCGTTCAGTGACGCTGCTGACGGGTTATCAGTGTCCGAGTATTCGGGGTTCAAATAAATATGGCTGGGCAAAAAAATTCCTCTTTGTCTGGCGGATTGACAACAGAACCGGAAGACAATACAATGCTGAATAAAGTCATAGTTTTTGTTATTTTTGGAGCAAAATGTATTTTCGATGCTTCAAAACATTCTTACTAACCCACTGATGTCACATGGACTACTTTGATGATGTTTGATCAGAAATGTAGTACAAACAGTAATATTTGTGAAATATTATTACAATTTAAAATGGCTGTTTTCTATGTGAATATATGATAAAATGTAATTTATTCCTGTGATCAAAGCTGAATCATTCATTACTCCAGTCTTCAGTGTCACATGATCCTTCAGAAATCACTCTAATATGATGATTTAATGCTCAAGAAACATTTATGATTATTATTATCAATGTTAAAACCAGTTGTGTACATTTTTTGTAGGATTCTTTGATGAATAGAATTTTTTTTTAAAGAACAATATTTATCTGAAATAGAAAGCTTTTGTAACATTATACACTATCGTTCAAAAGATTGGGGTCAGTAAGGTTTTTTTTTTTTTAAGAATGTTTAATTTTTTGTGCTTTTATTCAGAAAGGATGCATTCAATTGATCAAACGTTACTGTAAAAACATTTATAATGGTGAAAAAGATTACATTTCAAATAAATGCTGTTCTTTTAAACTTTAAACAAAAAATCCTGAAAAAAATGTACACAACTGTTTTCAACATAATAATAATAATAATAATAAATAAATGTTTTTTTAACATCAAATCATCATATTAGAGTGATTTCTGAAGGATCATGTGACACTGAAGACTGGAGTAATGATGCTGAAAATTCAGCTTTGATCAGGAATAAATTACACTTTACTATATATTCACATAGAAAACAGCTGTTTTATAATTGTAATAATATTTCACAAAATTACTGTTTTTTTTGTATTTTTAATCAAATAAATGCAGCCTTGGTGAGCAGAAGAGACTTCTTTTAAAAACATAAAAAACTTACTGATCGCAAACTTTTGAACGGCAGTGTACGTTAACATTAACTACTATGAAGAATATATATTTACAGCGTTTATTAACCTTTGTTAATGCTGGTTTATAAAAAATACAATTGTTCTTTGTTCATATTAGTTCAAAATGGCCCTATTATGCTTTTTTGGTGTAGAATTATATTTGCCAATTCAAATTAATAATAATAAATAATAATGTTTATTTTTTATAGCGCCTTTCAAGAACCCAAAGTCGCTTAAAAAAATAATCCAAACAGTTGACAGACAAAGAGACAAGCAATCTGCTTATTATAACAATTAAACGGAAGAAAAGCAGATGTGGAATTAAGAGATTTCAGAGTTATTGTCACAGCCTATACATATATATATGATTGAATGAGATGGTTGTATGTGTTATTGTGTGCTTAAGAGTGTGTTCTGGTTCCTCAGGCTCAGTTATTTGCCAAACGAGAACATGAAGGTGTGGTGCAGATGCTGGAGGTGAGTTTAACATCACACTGCTGTGCTTTTGTGTTTGTCAGGATAGTTTAAACTAACCGGTTTGCATTATCTAAAGAGGCGTGATGAGTGACTGTTCATGATGCTTGGGGTGTTAATGATTGTGTGTTGGTGCGTTGTTTAACTGAACTGTGTCTTTCTCAGGATCTGGTGCAGCTCGTATTGCACAGAGAGCTGGTAGAGTACAGCGTGTGCACTTCCTGTTTGATGTGATGCGTTTCCTGTCTCTCTCTCTCTCTCTCTCTAAACTGCATCACTGATGATTGTATCTTCAACCTCCAGAGGGCCCTGTTTGCCTACTAGTCCGGTTTATCATTTCAAAGTCCCTTGAGTTGCTTTACATACAATAATGACAAAACATAAATATGAAAATTAAGGGTGAAATGAAATAAGTATGCAATAAAATAAATTCAAGGCAATTGAATATGGTGCTTTTATCCAGAGTGACTCGCATTGCATTTAACGTTTATACTATATCAGTGTCTGTGAGAATCAAACCCTTGATCTTGATGTTGTGAGCGCAGGTTCAGATTGCTGTCTGAGAGTTTGCAGCTCAGATTTGTTTTTTGCATGAATGTCCTTGCATTTGTGGTATGAGGTTAGAGCGAAGTATTTCACTCTGGTACCTTGCAACCTGCTAAAATTATAGCTTCATAAACTCAGTTTTTGTGCATTTTGAGACTTACAGTAGATACATTCAGCAGTGATGCGGTTCAACAGGTTCTGGATTGCAGCGTTTAATAATCTAAACTAATGACTGCTTTTGAAATGCATGATGTTTCCTTTCTCTCTCTTCCTTTCTTTCTTTCTTTCTTATACTCTGTGTGTTTTGTTTTGGCCGCTAACCAGAATACACTGGACTGCATGCAGGTATCAGAACCGCTCCGAAACACATTCATTAGGCCAAAACCCTTTGTGTCTGTTTAGAGCCAAGTTAGGTTCAGTTTCTGGAGCGCGCGTGTGTGTGTGTGTGTGTGTGTACTTGTTTAACTATACTTGTAAGGGGCAATTTTCCTCACTTACATAGTGAAATATTATGACCAGTGTTGTGCTAGTTACTAAGAAATAGTAACTAGTTACAGTTACTAGTTACTTCATTCAAAAAGTAACTCAATTACTTTGTTGATTACTTACACCAAAAAGTAATGCGTTACTGTTAAAAGTAACTTTTAAGTTACTTTAAAAAAAAAACATTATTTAATGTTCCCATTAATGCGCTTTTATGCGTTATGGTCTATACAAACATAAAACTGACTAAAACAGAAAGTAATTTTTAAACACTATTTTATTTGAGTCAGACCAGCACAAACTGAATATATCACAAGGATTTCTGAGGCGACTCGCTGACTCGCGATCTTCGCAGTAGTGAACGCGCCAGAGAGAAATACACATTTCATACGGATTACATAAGCAGAGAGCAGTCTGTAGTCTGTTTTCTTTCGTTTGAATTGTTCTGTTTAAAAGTAGACATGTCTGTGAGGCGAGTAGGTTACCTTATACGCCGAGTTTCGGTTCATTTAGCCTATGAGACGAGCTCCAGTTCACGCGCCGGCGCCTCCGTTTCGTGATTATCTATCGTCTGCTATATTTGCTTCTTATTTATTAAATCCAGGCAATTGGTTGATGAAACATTGATTAAAATTAAGATACAATTAATACAAAACGAAATTCACTTAAAGAAAGGTTTTGTGCTTTCTGTTTGATGTCTCTGCAAGTATTAAAGCAGCTTTTAGTGCCGCTTTCAGAGCGCGTCCGTAATGGAGAACTGTCACGTCCGTAACATTGTTTTTTCCTCATAAATGCGAACACTAAAAATAAAATAAAATTAATATTTTGTTCTGTGGAGACTGAGAGCCAACCCTTCTTCATTCGGTGGGTAGTAGTTTGCGCAGTGTAATTCACATAATTACTAAACAATATTTATTTTAGGCCTATAAAATTCAGCCCGTATAAATGTGCATTTTCTAAGCTTAGAAAATGAACAAAATTAATTTGATTCTAATCATAATGTAACATTATTGTGAAATTGATTGATTTATAGGCTATTTGCTATTAGTATAGTAAATCCTATGTTTTTATCCAACTAGGCTATGTGTGGGCCTTATGTAAAATACGGGACAAATCGCGTCCCTTATTGATTTGATACGGACGCATCATTTTACTTGTAAATACGGGACAATTCCGTATTTTAAGGGACGGGTGGCAACCCTACCACCAATCCTACAATGCGTCGCTGCTGTAAACAGGTTAGGCTGTAGGCTACACTTCAGCCAAAATGAATTAATTTAAAAAAGTAATGGACAACGCACCACATGGTAACGGTAACGGAGTTAATTTATTTAAAAAGTAATGCGTTACAGTATGAGTTACTGTCAAAAGTAACCGCGTTACTGCCCAACACTGATTATGACAACTGACTAGTGAGATCATTTTACTGTCTGCAGAATTTAATGCAACATCAAGCAAACTCTGCATAAATTGCGGCAGCTCAAATTTTTGCAGATCTTTTCACAATTTTTCTGCAAAAAAAAAAGTTAACCTGAGAGGGGGGAAGCAATATTAGGTAATAAAAATTCAAAATTCAGTTCAAACAAATGAATCAATATGTGTTCAAGTGTCCTGCTGTTACATTGCAGTGAATTCCCCTGGTAAAGTTAGAGGAATATGGAGCATTCGGTTATATATGCAAGTGTTTTAAAAGGAAAGAAACTTTCCGACATGAGGCCCATTTGAGTGATGGACAGGGTAATATTAAATATTCCAAATAATTAATTCATGACCTACACTTGTCTATTTTCTTTTTAACTTGTTCGCTTCCAAAGTGTGTGATAGAGACGTGGCTGTGCAAGTGATCCAACGCCTTATTTATAATATAAGTATATATATATATATATGTGTGTGTGTGTGTGTGTGTGTGTGTGTGTGTGTGGGATGAAATGAAAGTTTCTAGAGGTTAATGAAACAATTAAACTACTATGTAATACTGAATATAATGTATATTAGGGCTAAAATTTGCTACTCCTGTTAAACGCCTCATTTTATTAGTAGATTTGAAAAATGATTTTACTGGCTATACACTTTTTAAATGCAATCACTGAAAAACTGGCAAAGACAATTGACAATGATATAATTGTGAAATTGTTAAAAACATTAAATACTAATTTATAATATTTAAAATGTGTAGTATAATCAGTGTCACTGATTACAACAAAAGGCTTTGTGTCCAACGCAATTCAGAATGTTCAGAAAACCGTTAATATAAAATATATATATATAAACATATATATATACAAATATATAAATAATGTTCACCACTGCCTAGTGCATGTGGGACCAGAACCACAGTTTCAGGAAATATGTAAAGAAATAAAGTATTTACAGGTAATTGCACTCTTACTGTCTCTAACACTAATTAAAAGTGCATCATGATAATTGGTAGGTTTTATTGGTGCAAAACAGCAAAAAAATAAAAATAAATAAATTGCCCGCGAAATGATTGAATGATGAATCAGCCAAAATATGTTTTTCTTTAAATCTAGTGTTTCTGTGATGGGTAGGTTCATGGGTAGAGGTTGGGTTAGGGCATAGATAATATCACTAACCTGAAATAAAACCAATGGAAGTCTATGCAATTTCCTCACAAACAAACGTGTGTGTGTGGGTGTGCGCGCGCGTGTGTGTGTTCGCGTGTGGTTTGTGAGATCTGTTTTGCAGTTAACTTAAACCACACGGCTAAAGGTGTTCACAAGGTGTTTTTATGAGTGTTTGGCTTGACAGAAGCATATCTATTACAGTTTTTAGCACTCAAATAAATGTTTTAAACGTGAAAGAGGGGCTAAAAACACTCCTAAAAGTTGGGTGCTATTCAGCTTTTTGTGTTTTTTACTCAGAGAGTATTTTCTGTGCCATGTGTTAAAGTTAATTGTGAGAATTAACGCAGACTTTTGAGGTGAGAGTTTTACAGGAAACTCTTTATTTTTAGGGCTGAGAGCAGCGACTCAACAAGTGACAGTCGGCCAGTTAATGTGTGTGTGAGTGTGTTTTTGAGCCTTGTGTGTTCAGTATGCCAGGAAACTGAACCACAGAGCCGGAAGTGAAACTAGCTCGCCGTAGTCTCACGAACTCAACCTCTCGAGTTTTGAATGCTTTACTACACGCTTGTATTTTACACTCAGCAAAACAGCCTTTACCCTTTTCCTTTGCCTCCGCTGTTCACCTGCTGCCTCCACTTCACTCTTTTTTGTGCACATATCATGTGACTCGATGCATTCAAATTGTTATCTAAAAAACCTACACACCAGATTTTTATGATTTTATAGGGTTTAGGTTTCAATGACACACATATTAAGATATATGAGAACTATTAAAATGAATAGACTGAATATTCCTAAATAAATAGAGCATATGATTAGTGATTTGAACAAACCACAAACACCAAGTAATACACTCGAGTGACTTCAGCGAGTAATATTATATACAGTGGTGTGAATAAGTTATTACCCCCATGCTAAAGTTGCCTAAAAAAAGGGAATAAAAAATCATCTTTTGGAAATTGATCTTAATGCCTTAATTAGAAAAATGAGGAAAAATCCAACCTTTAAGGACACCAATTTTCTTTGTGTATGAATAATGTATCATAAATAAATAAATGTTCTTCCTTAAAATACAGGGTACATAAGTCAGGCCCCCCCTATGTTAAATTCCCATAGAGTCAGGCAGATTTTTATTTTTAAAGGCCAGTTATTTCATGGATCCAGGATAATATGCATCCTGATAAAGTTCCCTTGGCCTTTGGAATTAAAATAGACCCACATCATCACATTCCCTTCACCATACCTAGAGATTGGCATGGTGTTATTTCAGTTAGCCTAATAGCTGGTTTGATTTGCATTGAAAGATGATCTTATAGAAAGTACCCCATGCCAATCTGTAGGTATGGTGAAGGGAATGTGATGATGTGGGTCTATTTTAATTCCAAAGGCCAAGGGAACTTTATCAGGATGCATATTATCCTGGATCCATGAAATAACTGGCCTTTAAAAATAAAAATCTGCCTGACTCTATGGGAATTTAACATAGGGGGGGCCTGACTTATGCACCCTGTATTTTAAGGAAGAACATTTATTTATTTATGATACATTATTCATACACAAAGAAAATTGGTGTCCTTAAAGGTTAGATTTTTCCTCATTTTTCTAATTAAGGCATTAAGATCAATTTCCAAAAGATGATTTTTTATTCCTCTTTTTAGGCAACTTTAGCATGGGGGTAATAACTTATTCACACCACTGTAATTAAAAATCATATGTCTAGTTAAGGAGAGATCTGTTGGATTTTTCACATTTTGGATGATTTTATTTATAGTCTCAAACTCTTTTTGTATTCATTTAGTTAAAAGTTGGTATTTTTTCTGAGATTAATATCCTAAAGTTCACAAAAATGTCTTGTAAACCACAAAAAATGATAGCTTGAAAGTTCTTATAAATATTCATAGTTTCATTGAGATGAACAAGCTATAATTTGACTCTCGAGACTTGCCCAATTATAAACATATTCATTGCATCATCACATGCTCTGATTGGCTTATCCCACTTTTGCAGTGCATCATTCATTGCTTTAAGCATCTGCATTTCTTCATCAAACAAACGATTATGTTTAACATATATGAATATGAATTAATGTGTGGATGTTAATGTCGACCCTGTGTAGGCAAAAGTCCGGGACCTGGAGGACAAATGCCGCAGTCAGAGCGAACAGTTTGGGATGCTGTCACAGGAACTGGACAAGTTTCGGGTTCAGGCCTCAAAGATCGACCTGTCGGGCTCCGGCCTGCTGTCCAGCTCCAGTCTGACCCAGCTGACCAATGGGCTCGGCCTGCCTGGTGAGACTGGTACGCTAAATTAACCCTTGTGCTGTGTTGAAAATCCTTTACCTAATTTGGTAGCCTGGATGCCAGCACGAACCCCGCCCACAAAATGTTTTGGTCGGTCCGGACTCGATCCATTGAGGAGTAATTATGATCGGTTCAGAAAACGTCTGGCCAATCAAATTGCCAGGGCGGGCTTTATACGATGATGGACAGATGATCTGCAGTTACGTAATCATCACGTTATCAAAGAGCGCTTGGGTTGAACTGGTTTCCCTCAGAGATCACTGCAGCTGGACAACTGAGATGTGCAGATTTCGACAGCGCATTCATTTTAAAAGACGAACAGAGAACTGCAATCAAGGCATTTGTCGATCGGAAAGATGTGTTTGCCGTCCTTCCTACGGGATTCAGCAAAAGTTTAATTTATCAGCTGGCTCCGATGGTCTCTAAGAAGATGGGACGCGATGAAAGCCCTGTGGTCGTTGTGGTTTCTCCTTTGGTCGCACTCATGGAGGACCAAGTAAAAGAAGCAACACTCATTATTTTACTACTTCTTCCAGCGTGCGTGTAGTTGAGGTCTGTTGACAACTATGCGTAGCTCAACATACGTCACTTACTGCGTTGCTCTGATTGGTTGTAGGTCTATCCAATTGAGTGCAGAGTTTTTTTCTTCCTGGTTCGGTTAAGACACGCCTCATAATCAAAGCCCTATGGAGCAGTATCAGACTCACAGTCTGACTAGAATATGAGTATGACGAAGTCAGGCTACTAATTTGGTGTTCCGGGTCAAAAATGACTGAATGAACTTGCTTATAAATCTCTCACCAAATATTGGATTCAATCCTTTTGGCAGCTTGTTTTCTTTCAATAACCACAGGTTTTTACAGAGCCCCTAAAGCAGTGGTCTCAAACTCAATTCCTGGAGGGCCACAGCTCTGCACAGTTTAGCTCCAACCAACTTCAACTCACACATGCTTGGAAGTTTCTAGTAATCCTGAAGACCTTGATTAGCTGGATCAGGACGTCAAAAACATCTTTCCGATCGACAAATGCCTTGATCGCGGTTCTCTGTTCCTCTTTTAACCCTCTGGGGACTAAGCCCTTTTTGGTCCGTTTTCTCTATTTTTACATTTGGGCTTATAAACCATATGTAATGGAGATGGAACACTATGTGTTTGGTATCTATGGATTCAGAAGACCCTAAGCTAACATAAGCATGCATGTAATGTGTTTATAAAGGAAGTATGAGTGAAAAATGTACTATAAACTAGAGAATTTCAAAAACGGAAATTAGATTTTTGTCATTTATTTCTGAAAATCACACATCACACAAAAATAGTGAACAGTTTTTGAACAAAAAATATATTTGTCAAAGCCTTTGCTTGACAGACATGTGTAATTGTTAAATAAAATGTGTAAAGAACAATGAAAAATGTAACTTTATTTACAAATAGTCCTAGGCGTTTTTCTTAGGAATGCTTAGAATTTTCTAAGCAATGCTTTCTTCTCGTCACTCTCCAGTAATTGTTCCAGAGCTTGTTCCACCGTAAATCGTTTACTGCTTGCCATCATAAAAGTGCTAAAACAATAAATAATGCTATAATTGTATGTGTATATATATATTAATTATAATTGTTCTGTCTCTCTCTCATATAAATCTCTGATAATCCGCTTCGAAAGCCTCCGTTCGCTCTCTCTCCTTCTCTCCATTCAACGCTGTTTGCGTCATATCCCTAACTACATAGTACCCCCCTTTGCAAGGCTACAGAGTCCTCTGATTTGCTAGAAACGTCATGGTAACCGTCCTCTGATTGGGTAAGAAAAATATTTCTCCATCGGCAATTTTTCCATTGGTTGTTGTTCGCGGAATCTGCCAAACAACATCGATTTCATTGGCCTTTTACATAGTGGTATTGCGCAACAAGGAAGTGTGTATATTTACAAGCCGAGTAAGTTATCACTGTTTTCAGCGGAATCTGAGGAAGACGGTAAAAAAGACCGCACCTCTCTATCATTAATAGTTTTTAAGATCATTACACATTTGTAAAAGTATGTCATTTTGGGCGGTACCGCCCAATCCGTCCCCAGAGGGTTAAAATGAATGCGCTGTCTACATCTTCTATAACAGACGCGATGGCTGGATCTACACATCTCAGTTCTCAAGCGGCGGCCATCTTTGTTGTAAACGAACTCAACCTAAGCGCTCTTTGGTGACGTGGATGATTACGTTTTGGTTGATAATTTGTCCATCATCGTATAAAGCCCGCCTTGACAATTTGATTGGTTGAACAGCTTTGGTTCGGGCATACTTGCTTCACAATGGATCAAGTCCCGACCGAACTTCCCATCCTCAAATGTTGTGGGCGGGGCTAAGCTCGGCTGGCATTCAGGCTACTGCCCTAAAGGGACCTTTGCAAAAATAAAAAATAAACAGAAACTTGTTGCTAATAGGCTACAATGCTAAATCAATACCGTGATCTATCAAATATGTGTACAATAACAAACCTCTGTGACGGGCGAGAAACCGTGCTGTAAAATGGGCTGATGACGCAATATGACCGTGTGCATTGTCCTATTGGCCAAAAATTAAAACAATTTTACTAACCCCCAAACTTCTGAACGGTAGTTTAAAAGTCGCTGTTCTTTTAAAGCTGCAGTCCGCAGTTTTTCCTCTCTGTCGCCATCTCTGTTCGAAATCTGCAATTGCAGTTATTCGTGGAATTATCAACTTTACGTGAGTGAAAACACTCAACACAGTGTTTGAGGAGAGTGTGTGTCTGTCAGTCGCCGCCGGTGTGGATCCTGGCATTCAGAATCACAGATTATACTTTTTGTAAGTATGACCAACATAATAATTTTCACCATAAAATGTCTGAACAAGTAACATCCACTTTTGTTCTTCTGACCAACTAACTGAAAAAAGGCATTGCAGTAAATCGCGCTGATTAAATCTAACAATCGTGAATCATATCACGTCAAACCGTGCAAATTATACTTTGTTCTTAAATAGTTAATGTTAACAACATCAGCATTGCGTGACTACATTTAAAGCCCTTCCGATATGTATGCTTGTTTTCGCATGGGCCGGTTGCAGTCTCTTTTTCCAAACTCTCAGTCCAAAGTCTTTTGTATTTTACAGCGGGTGAGTCTCTAGTTGTCACTGGTGATTGTCGTTTGAACCTTTCTGGATCCGCCATCAAATTGATAAGTTTTATTATATCAAGTGCTGTGAGAAAAGGCTATAAATCTCCACCTCCAACATCCTCACTCACAACATAGCCGAGACTCTTCTTTATGTGTACAGATGTGTGTGTACAGATGTGTGTGTGTGTACAGACGTAATGACGCAAAGACATGCTCGAATCTCCCGCGGAAATCCACCAGTACCACTGGAATTAAAAACATTATTACAAGCTTACCGTTTTGAATCGAGCTACGGCAAGCAGAGAGTTTTGAACACTGGCTGGTTATGTATTTTCTCAAAAAAATATTTTGGATCATTTTGAACCCAAAAAAGTTACAGACTGCAGCTTTAAATAGGCAAATTGGATCATTATTGCAGTGATTATTATATTTCTAGCATGTTATATGTTTGGCAACAGTTCTTCTAACCCTAACTGATGGAGTTTCTTAAACAACCATGTAGAAAGACACATCATGGCCATATTCCAGCATGACAAAACCAAGATTTATCAGGCTCAAATTGTGAAAGAATGGTTGGGGAGGAGCTTGAAGAAACCAGGTCCAATTTAAGTCCAGAGCTTAAATTCATTGAAAGTCTTTCGGGATGTGCTGGAGGAGAGCACCTCTTGATGCAAATAAATGTTGTGATGTTATTTCCATCAAGAGATGCATCAATTTTTGCTCAAGTTCTTGTCAATTAAATTTTCCATCATAATGTATTCTGGGTTTGCCTACACACTACAGTAGGTTGCCGTAGAATTAGATCAAAACAAGGTTCAGGTGAAACTCGAAAAATTCGAATATCGTGCAAAACTTCATTTATTTCAGTAATTCAACTTAAAAGGTGAAACTAATATATTATATAGACTAATTTCATGCAAAATGAGATATTTCAAGCCTTTATTTGTTATAATTTTGATGATTATAAGCTTACAGCTTATGAAAACCCCAAAGTCAAAATTAGAATATTGTGAAAAGGTTTTCATATCTGTAAGCCATAATCATCAAAATTATAACAAGTAAAGGCTTGAAATATCTCACTTTGCATGTAATGAGTCTATATAATATATTAGTTTCACCTTTTAAGTTGAATTACTGAAATAAATGAACTTTTGCACATTATTGAAATTTTTCGAGTTTCACCTGTATCTTATAAGTTATTGTTGTATTGCTGCTGCCTACCTTTTAGAGCAGCTTTTGTGCCAGGATCACACCTATGAGGCTTTATAATGCTGTCTAGGTTGGCCGCTCACTAGGTTTTGGACCGCAGCCCAAGTACTGCATGTGTAAGAGATCCATAAGTGGATTGCGTCTGCATTATCCCCTCTTTTTCCAGGCACACATTCTTCATGGGAAGACATCGCCTTCTGGAGTTTGGAGGGTAATGAAGCCCTCTGTGATGCCTCTGAGCCTGGTACTATTTAACTTGGTTTCCTTCTAGGCTGTGTTTGTCTTGAATGGAAGACGTCACGTGTCTGCCTGCATGAATAACGCATGGAGTGTGACCGTGGGCGGAAGTGGTCACATCCATGATTAATGTAATACGATCAGTCCTGAGCTAGAGCTGGGCGATATGAAAATATATAACCTGAGAAACATACCGCCCACCCCTATCCTGAACCATAAAATAAACCTCTTTGTGATGTTGTAGACGTTCTGTGTATTGACGATGGTACTGTTTGCAGTTCTCACCTTGTTAATGTGAGGTTTGTATTGGTATTTGTCATTTGAAAATGATCACTTACATAATTGGTAGGACACTGCATGTCTCTCAGCTTTGTGAGGATTTGATTGGCTGCTTTATTCTGATGGACCAATCAGAATTCACTTTGGTGATCTGTTCTCCCTGACAGCTGCTTCTTGACTATGTTCAGAATGGTTTACTACAATATTACTTGTACAATGTTGATAATTGGACACTTACTAAATTAAGCATGCAACCTAGTGAGGTCATGTGGCAAAAGTGTGGCACACTATTGCATGAAATGGCATACTGTTGCATGTACTTGTTTTAAAGTCCCCTTGCAGGCAATACTTTCAGTCAATAATTGAATCTCTTAAAACTCATCTTTGATAGTCAAAATGACATATTTAAAATTGTTCATGCCTTAAAATAGCTGGATTGTAACTCTACACCCTTGCTAAATTTTGTGTACGCGGATCCACGAATATGCAAATTATCCCCGCCTCCACTCACTCACACCTGATCCACTCAGTCAACTTTACAGTAGTAAACGCTACACAATGACAAGTGGAAATATCGTTTTAATTCAGCCATATTTGTTTGAGAAACTGATTCAGAGGAAGAGTTGAATTATACAATCCATGTATCAGAATGGTTATGCATTTTATGTATTGCTCTCTACAACGTCAGACAAATAAAGATAACTGATATGATTAGCCTTTGGCTTGACTACGTTATCAAACAGCTAATAATGTGCTGCTAATGTTACAGGTTACCTAACCCTAACTTTGCTTTGAACATCATAGAAAGTCAGTTGAGAAAGGCATATCGTTCATAATAACTTCGTAATATATATATGATAATTCACCCGCTATATGTACCCGATTTATCCTGTAAAGGTGTTCTTGACAGGATTGGTCACATGTTTGTGACTAAAGGAAACAGGAGTGTTTTTGAGACTGTCTTTGGTTCACTGCAGTTTTAAGGAGATATTACTCCGCAATAGTGTTAACTTATGAATTTATACATGGGTTATTTTAAAGCATAGTAATAACACCAGATAGACAACATTAAAAACTTGATTTTCATCATAGGGGGACTTTAAAAATAGTATGCCGTATGTACTGCACAGTCTGCTGTAAGTTCTCCATTCTGAATCCCAGCATAGTCCTAATCTTCTACTGTATATGTGGATGCATTATTATGTTTATCATGCAAATCTAACAGCATGTTTAGATGTTAACACGCATAGGAAGCACTTTTGTGTTTTTATTTGCGTCATTTTGATTAATCCAATGCAATATAAGGAAGTCTTTTTAAAGTTACTGATGGAAATGCTCAGTGAAATGGCTCAGATTGCCATTAATTTTAAAGCAGGCATGCGATGAATATATGTAAGCACAGGGACGAGATGAAGGATGTGTACTATGTAGATCACAGGATGACTAGAGTCACCAATACACACAGACAAATTAAACAGACACATAAACACATGCTTGTAAACTCTTAAAGCTTTATATGCACACATGCATATAAATGTTTATCTAACTATTTTTTTGAGAACATACCTTGTATGCAGGGCCTAAAAATGAACACCAAGTGCCAAATGCGAGTAAAAATTGGTGTTGGCGAGTATATGAAACCGTGTCAAACGCCTGTTGCCTGGTAATATTGTCATTCAATTTAGCAATGCAATGTTGTAAAAACATGAACGTGAACGACGCTTTGGGACAGTTAACAGGCCAGCACTGCATCGTCACGAAAGTTTAAGCCTTGCCAATTGAAATACTCAAGTGCAAGAAGACGAGAAAGAGAACTCGATTCATTACTCGCTGTGTGTAGTTTTCTGTGCACAAACATCCGACGTGCGCGCCCAGAAATCCACATCTCAGACAGCACACAAACACTGATTAAACTCTCTTTCATGTCTTCTCACGCTTCAAAATCCTCCTAAACATAGTTATTATGTGTTAAGTTAACAGACAGTAGAGAAGAAAACGCATGTGTATTAGTATATTGGATCCTTGTTTCGTTAAGTGACAGCAGCCTAATATTCCTGCTGCCATCTCTATAATAACGGTAATCTCGCTGATCTTGACTGAATAACTTTTGTAACTTTAATAAGGATTAATCTACGTTTAGTTTATACAGTGAAGAGTATGCAGTATTTTACGTTTGATTACTTTATTACATTTCCGTACCTGAAAATTGTTCATTTTCACTGGTATCGAAAATTTTGGTGTCATTAACGCCGCCTTCACACTGGCAGTTGAAATCAGCTCCGAAACGTCCGGAAGTCGTTCATTTCCTATGGAGATTCGCAGACCGCATGCGAATGGATCCGAAACGGGTCCGACCGAGTGCGGTGCGAAGAAAATCGTGTCCGTTGGTCATCCGGATGCGATCAAAAAATTGAACTCTTGCGAAAAGCTACGGACGGTTCCTATCCGACAATTCCAGCGGAAGTTAGCGTTGCTATGATACTGATAAACAAACCTGAATTCTTAACTTTTAATAAAATAAATAATGATTTTATAACGTTTATTTTCATGATTTTATAACGTTATTAGGGCAGTTAATACAATTAAATTGTAGGCAGACATGATCGAACTATTGACATTATACCACTATATCGCATTTTTGAGCCGACCTGACATGTCAACGTCCTGAGCAACTTTCCTCACGCAGCAGCCTTCCTATTAATATCTCTATAACCCTCATCAGAGAGATCATACAGAACTGACAGAATCAACCTTTCTAATCTCTCCGCCATTTTTGTTCTACTCGCTTCCGACGCTTTTCACTGTGTAGTACGACGTCCGTTGGGGGCGTATTGCGTATTACGGAGCTGATTTCAACTGCCAGTGTGAAGGCGGCGTAACTGTTTCTGCAAAAACAGCTTCATGGCTAGTAAGAAATATTTACTTTTTTTAAATAATTTTCTTAAAGAGTTCATATAATGCCATTTTTGTACAAGCTAATATGATTCTTTAGGGTCTAAATTAAAAGTTTGTAATATACTTTAATTAAACATTCTCATTAGTATTGTAAGAAAACACTTATTTTACCTGGTCAAAAACAGCTCTGTTTTCAGCACGCCGTTTCAGTGCATATGACTTTAAAAGATAATGAGTTTTGCTCACCCCGCCTCTCTGTTCTGTGCTACACCGTTTGTAACACAATAACCATAAAGCATTGTTCAGTATAAACGTGGGATTATGAATTATATTGAGAACGTCATACATAGAAAACATGCCGTAATGTACCCTAAGTGTAAACCTTAGACGCATTCATTGTGAAGCGTGCAGCTAGCGATTTGCAAGGATTAATATATTAATATAAAGTTTAATAAAACGTTAAACTCACTTCAGTTCTTCTGGAGGTTCAGCAGGAACATGAATATCTGGTACCGATTCTTTTTTCAGGAGCAGCTTCTTAGCAAAACCAGCTGTATACTGACCCTCGTTTATAAAGCAGTCTGGTGAGAAATGATTCGCGCAAACATGAGAGCATTGACGTTGCTCGTGGGGAATATTCCCTTCGAAAACAAACTCAGCCACTGCGTCTTCAGCGGTTCGGATTTAGGAACATTAAAATGACTGTGTTCGTTATTACACCCAAGAACAGAACACCACAATCGCTTAGACGCCATTCTGCTCATAGACAGTGCTCCAGCATATCAACAATGACCGCGCCGGTCCGCGCAGACTATGATTGACAGCTGGCTCACGAGCGAGGGCGGGTCTGTGTTGAAACGCGCCTGTCAATCAACAATCGTGGGAGGGGCGTGCGACCGTGTGACGTCACAAAATCGAACGGCTCAATTTGAGGCAAGGGAAAACATATAAGGAGATTAAAACAAAAACACTGGATGGATTTTTATCATTATATGATGGTTGTGTACAGGCACTGCCAACACACATTTCAGTACAATCAACTTGTAAAAGTGCATGTACCATTATATGACCCCTTTAAGTCACCGGCCATTGGCAGGTGTGGCAAGAAGTTAGTGTTAGGCCCTGCTCGTATGTGTCCCATTGAAGAAAGTCAGTCATACTGGTTGCATTTCCCTACACTCATTGCATGCTCTCCTCTGTCTGTGTTAGATGTGGCTGCGGTCTTGCGGACGGGCTCCACTCCACATGCGGCTGAACTGTCCCGTCCCGAGCGCTCACCGACCACCAAACATCGAGAGCTGCCTGCCATCAGCGTGAAGTCCGGCTCCACGTCCAGTCCCAGATCTGAGACCACGCACCTCTCGCCCAAATCCACTGGCTCTCGCCCGGCCAGTCCCCGAAAGGCCAGCCCTACACATGACGTGAGAAAACTACACCACTACACACACACAACGCCATCAGCCTTTATCACCTGTTCGCGTTTAAAGTCTGTTTAGAAAAAAAAGTGATGTCTTAGCGGCCCCTAATTTAATAACAAATGATCATTTCGACGGAAGTGAATCAATCAAAACTAACTTTAGCTGGAAATAACATTATTCAAGAACCGCTATAAAACCAAACCAATCTTTATTACCTTAAATTATATGTTTATCTCTGTAAAGCTGCTTTGAAACAATCTCCATTGTTAAAAGCGCTATATAAATGAGGATGACTTGACTTGACAACTAAAACTAGTACAAAGAATTTATCGAATTTGAAATAAAATAAATGTTAAATAAATGTTTAACTCAAGTTAAACTTATTTTATTTCAGTTAGTTGCCCATGCTATTTAAATCAAATTAATAAACACTAAATAGACCTAGAAAAACGAAAAACGAAAAAGAACAAAATGATCAAAACCTTAAAATTAAAATATAATTCAATCAAAATATTTGAAAATCTAAATATTAATAAATACTATAATATTATATTGATGATACTAAAATAACACTGCTAACAAGTTCATATCTTTACATGGGTCGGAATAAACTGGGACTTGTTGTCAAATGTCAAAAAGTTACAATCTTAGACACAGAGTTATTTCTTTCACTCCACTTTTTTGTGCAGAATTATCTAGAATGCAGATCATTTGTTGGGTTCGTTCTGGGTTACAGGGTCGAGTGTACCTTTGAGCTTTTGTTTGATGCTGTGAAGTTTAGAAACTGGCCCCGGGTCAGAGGTCAGCCGCTCTCTGGCGCGCGTGTGGCTGTCTAAAGCTGATATTCAGTGAGATAATCCTGTGCAGTGCTGGATTATGAAGGTTGTAGTAGTTGTAAGTGATTATCCATAAAAGGTTTTACCCTTGAGCTATAAATACTGCCTGCATGGGTCCATTTACTTCTTACTCACAGCATCACTATATTTAGATGATTTCAGCTGCTGACACTGTACGTTTACTAAGGGACAGACCTGTTGTCATTATCATTATTATTTACTAATAAACGTTCTACATGTGGAGCATAATGTGAGAGGCTGGTGTTTGCCAGTGGTTACATGCATAAGTAAATAAGTGCAATGTATGCATAGTTTTTAGTGATTTAGTTTAATTGTCTTTTTGAGTTTTGCTCATGTTTTTGAGGATTAATGTGTTATGCAATCTGTCCATCCTGCCATCTTTGTAATTAGATACACTATATGGACAAAAGTTTTGGCACTCACCTTTAGGGTTGGAAGATCTCTATTGGGGGGGGGGGGGGGGGGTCTATGGGGGATAACGTAACATCCTAATTTTCCACTACATCTCATCAGCAATTTCGATTTTGACACACTTTGCAGCAGCTGACCACTAAGGAGCGAATGTACAGTGACATGACATAACTGACAGAATCAAACCGACAAAGACGGACGAGCTCGTCATATATCACAACTATTCAGTGTTTTTAAAATACACAATGGTGTCTATGGAAGCAGCAATAACAATCCACTCAAATTTATTTGCCGACGTGTTTTATTCATATCATATACACAGTGTAAGTAACTATAAAGTTTACTCAATTCTTCTCCCAGTTCACCGCCCACTTACTTTCATGTATTTCGGGAGAAAGTGATAATAAATAAATACAACATAATAAACACAGCAGACAGGACTCTCTGACCTGCGGCCCAAACAAACATGGTGGCGCCCATCTCATGTTACAGATCAAAGGTATTAAACAGTAAAGGTATTTCAGGATATAGGAAATAAAAATATACTGTCCATAGCCTTAAAAAAATCGATTTTAGCCAATTAGTTTGATTAAAATGTCACAAAAATCAGGCCAGGAATGATTTATTAACAAAATCCCTCTGATAATGACCTGCATGACTGCATTGTACCAACTGTAAGTTTAGTGGAGGGGGGGTTATGGTGTGGGGTTGTTTTTTAGGGGTTGGGCTCCCTTACTTCCAGTGAAGGGAAATCTTAATGCATCAGCATACCAAGACATTTTGGACAATGCTATGCTTCTATCTTTGTGGGAACTGTTTGGGAAAGGCCATTTTCTATCGTAGCATGACTGTACCCCAGTGCACAAAGCAAGGTCCATTAAATCATGGTTGGATGAATTTGGTGTGGAAGAACTTGACCCGTCCGCACAGAGTCCTGAGCTCAACCCGATCAAACACGTTTGGGATGAACTGGAACGGAGATTACGAGCCAGCCCATCGTGTCCAAAATCAGTGCCTGACCTCACAAATGCTCTTTTGGATGAATGGGCAAAAATTTCCCACAGAAACACTCCAAAATCTTGTGGAAAGCCTTCCCAGAAGAGTGCAGCTGATATGAATGGAATGGAAGCCATCTCTATATTAATATCTATGTATGAAGACTGTTAGAATGCAATGTCATTACCAGTGTTGCCACAGTTACTTTGAAAAAGTAACTTAGTTACTTTACAGATTACTTGATTTAAAAAGTAACTTAGTTACTTTATTAGTTACATTCAGCAGCTGCCGAAAACATCCCTTTTTAACAGTAACGTCAACAATGTATCTCCTGACATTTTAAGTTGTCTTAAATGTCATAAACTTAAACTATTTCCTGAAAAAATACATGTTTTTAAAATAAAATAAAATAAAGACAGTCTTTCTTGGCTTCACTTAACATATGTTTTTATAAAAAATAAAAAATAATGACAGTCTTTCTTTACTTCACTTAACATAAATACTTGTTTTTCTAAAACATAAACCAAAAGACAGTCTTTCTTGACCTGACTCGCGATCACTAGTGAACGCGCCAGAGAGAAATGCACATTTCATACGGATTACATAAGCAGAGAACAGTCTGTTTTCTTTCTTTTTCAATTGTTCTGTTTAAAAGTACACATTTCAGGCTTTCTATAGATATATTTCTCAGGTGTGTGAGGCAAGTATAAGCCTACCTTATACGCTGTGTTTCAGTTGTTCACGCGCCAGCGCCTCCGTGTCATGATTTATTGTCTGCTATATTTACTTTTTATTTATTAAATCCAGGCAATTGGTTGATGAAACAATTATTAAAATTAAGATACAATTTATACAAAAACGAAATTTACCTTAATGAATGGCTTTGTGCTTTCTGTTTGATGTCTCTGTGAAAGTTTTAAAGCAGTCTTTCAGTGCCGCTTTCATAGCGCTCACGTCCGTAACGGGGAACTTTCACGTAACATTGTTTTTCCCTCATAAATGCGTACACGAAAAATAAGACAAAATGAATATTTTATGTTCTGTAGAGAGCCAACCCTTCTTCATCCGGTGGGTAGTATTACTTTTTGTACTTTTGCCAACTAAAATTTAAAGTTTTTTGTGTCACGTCCGTTACAGATGTGTATTTCCCTCATATTAAATATAAAATGCATTTGTAGACTGTAGACTGATGTTTTTCTAATGTCTGGACTCCTTTATTTAGGGAGTATGGATAAACAGACGTTTCAATATATTAGTATTAAATGCATTTTCTGAGAATTTACATTTCAAGTTTTTTATCTCAAATGTCACGTCCATAACGATGGAATTGCCCAATTTGAAAGAATTTATCCTCAACTAGTTTTGTGGTGTAGGTCTACGTATTTTAAAATGTTAACTTAAAATAATACTAATAGTAATTTAAAGATGTGGTAGCATTGGATCTGGACAGGAAGGATAGCTAACTCTGGGAGTTGGAAGGGGTGTGTCGTGATTCTGTCTTCTCACACACATTTCAGTTTCATATCGCATATCAGCCATCATTTCTACTAAAGAAAATGACAAAAATAGTAACGCACAGTAACTTGGATAAGTGGTTTGGAAATAGTAACACGTTAGATTACTCGTTACTGAAAAAAGTGTTCAGATTAGAGTAACGCGTTACCGGCATCACTGGTCATTACAGTCCCTGTTGGTGTATAGATCAGGTGTCCCATTCCTTTTGTCCATATAGTGTAGATTCCATAGTGTTTGATTGGAAACACAACCTTTCACATCAACAACGAAACATCTGGGAATTAAAAGCATATCCGTGTTTTGGTTTTATTATCCTACCTATGCACAGTTGTATGGTTGGTTGCATTATATTATTTGCATATAGCAGTGTTTTTCCCTGCTGTAACTCATTTGAATTACTGGTTTAGATTAAAACAGGTTTAACCTGCCAAAGAAGAGGCCAACTTTGTTTTAGATCCAAATCACAATCACAAATACCAAATTCATTCATTTTTCATATTTCAATCATCCATTTAATATTGAATTAATCTCATATTGAGTATTTGTGTATGTGTGTTTCAGGTGGACACTGCTAGTGAAGTCGAGGAGCTGGATATTGACGTTTCTCCAGCGCCGTATTCGGTCAGTAAAGGAGCAGCTAAACTCCAGGTCTTCATTGCACGTTACAGGTAAACACCACTATACTTATTTAATGATTTCTGCTTTCAGCATTTACTAAACTGCCACAAACATCGAACAAATTAGACACTTTAAATGTATGCCTGTTTTTATTTCTAAATGCAGCTACAATCCCTATGATGGTCCTAATGATAACCCGGAGGTTGAGTTGCCCCTCACTGCGGGAGAGTACATTTACGTCTATGGAGACATGGATGATGACGGCTTCTATGAGGGTGAGTTTATTCATTGATTTTTTTTATAAGATAAATGAGACCAAATTAAACCTCAAGTGTGTGGAGCAAGAAAAAATTAAATGTTCAAAATGCCCAGTAGATGCTGTAAATGCACTGAATAAAAAAACAGACCTCAGGTTGTTTTTTAATTTTTTTTTTTTTTGAACTAGCATTAGCTGTTGAAATAATTTTGAACTAGACTAGTGAAAAAAAGACGTGAGCAGACTTTTTTTAATAAATATATTTTTTTAATTAATTATTTTTTTAAATAAATAATAAAAGGTTTTCATAAATGCTTATATATATATATGTATGTGTGTGTGTGTGTGTGTGTGTGTGTGTGTGTGTGTGTGTGCGTGTATGTATGTGTGCATGTATGTATGTGTGCATGTATGTATGTGTGCATGTATGTATGTATGAGTGTATGTGTGCGTGCATGTCTGTGTGCATGTAAGTGTGTGTGTGCGTGCATGTCTGTGTGCATGCAACTGTGTGTGTGTGTGTGGTGTGTGCGTGGGTTAATGAGTGTGTGTGTATGAGATTATGTGTGTTTGTAAGTATGTGTGCGTGTATGTGTGCATTTATGTATGTGTGTAAGTATGTATGCATGTATGTATGTGTGGGTGCATGTGTGTGTGCATGTATGTATGTTTGCGTGTAACTGTGTGCATGTATGTATGCATGCGTGCATGTTTGTGTATGTGTACATGTAAGTGTGCATGTATTGTATATATGTATGTATGTATGTATGCTTGCATGCATGTATGTACATGTATTTATGTATGTGTGTATGTATGTAAGTACACTATGTGTACTAAAAGGTCATAACCAACTACTCAACACACTCTAGCATTGTGGTAGTGAGTTTACCTCTGAAAATGTAAAAATCTGATTTACTATTCAAATTTCTAAAAATCTACTTTAAATTTCCTTCAACAACACTGCCGTACCTATAACTAGCACTATTGTGTTAAACCATTTAGGCGAGCTGATGGATGGTAGAAGAGGCCTCGTTCCCTCCAACTTTGTGGAGCGTGTGTCGGACGACGACTTCATGAGCTCACACCCTCACCAGGCTGGCGATATTTCCCATAATTCCTTCCAGGAGAGCAGCTTTCACAGCGGCAGTGAGCGGCTGCACCAACACCACTTACGTTTCGCCCACAGCACCTCCGAGAGGACGGAGACCTCCACGACAGCCTCAGCTCCCGGTGACAATGCCAAAGCCAACCCCGCTAACCCTGCCCAGGCCGTCCCGCTCACCAACGGCTTAGACTTGGATCTAGAGGAGGTGGGGGTGGACACTGTGCCTTACCCCCGCAAGCTAACACTAATCAAGCAGCTAGCCAAGAGTATCATCATTGGCTGGGAGTCTCCGCTAGTCCCGTCCGGCTGGGGTTCAGTGTTTAGCTATAATGTTTACGTGGACCACGAGTTGCGGATCAACGTGCCATTTGGTACCCAAACGAAGGCCGTTCTGGAGAGGCTGGATTTAGCGCAGAAAGCATATCGGATTGCAGTGCAGAGTCTGACGGAGCGCGGGAACTCGGATCAGCTGCGTTGCAGTATCCTCGTTGGGCGGGACGTGTGCGTGGCGCCGACTCACCTGCGCGTCGAACGTGTAACGGCTACCTCGGCCAGCCTGACCTGGCTACCTAGCAACAGTAACTACGTGCACATTGTGTCTTTGAATGACGAAGAGTGCGAGCTGGTAAAGGCGGGATGCTATTCACTGTGCCTCAGTAACCTCACACCCAACCTGAATTACAGCGTTAAAGTGGAGGCCAGGCCACACCGCACAGCCTGGGAACTACCGCCAGAGTGCCGAGAACGCAAAACCGTAGTGACCTCTTTCACAACCCTGACTGCAGGTGAGATGCAAAGATGAGACCAGAAACTAGTGTATAGTACATGGGTTAGGGGTAGGTTCAGGGTTACTACCTAGTAGGGGTGTAACGGTACATGTATTCGTATTGAACCGTTTCGGTACGAGGCTTCCGGTTCGGTACGCATACAAACCGAACGATTCCTTGGACCATTTTTCCTGCCGTCAAAATCCGCGCTGGCGCGATCACCACAACGTTGCGCAACATCAAATGGCGAACGTAATGAAAGCGGAATGAAACTGCGCTACTCATTATATTGTGCTTCACGGACCGTTTATCAGTTCGGACCAGCGACATCTGTGCAGCGCGAGCCGATCTTGATCAAGCGACACTGTTACAACACAGCGCTAAGATCCAGTGAAGAAAACATTTGAATTCGCCTCTGAAGTAATAACATCGCTGCGAGATCTAGTGAGAAGCATTCACATTTCTCCGTTATTAACCGTAGATCTCTATTAGATCAAACAGCGCTGACGTGGGAACCAGGAGAAACATTGTGCCGTGAATGAACTAGTTATAGGCTATAGTTATAGGCCACAGATCAGCAACATTCACCGTGGATTTAATATAGTAACACTAACTGTAACCATGGAACTTTGGCTGGAATAGTGAAATGCTTTTAAGTACTTAACACATCTTTTTCCAGCACTTCAAAAAACTCAAATATTATCTAAATATTATAAATATAGGCCTATATTTAAATGTTATTTTTATGTGATGACCAAAACATTATTTGTTCATCCTTCAAAGATTGCCCCCGTTTATAAACCTGAAAGTTTCAAGATGTAGGAAAACTCAAACTTATTTAAAAATATTTTTTCTTTTAATAAATAGGAAATTTCTCTGGCATTTCTTTCTTTTTGCTGTATCGAAAATGTACCGAACCGTGACACCACTGTATCGTATCGAACCGAACTGTGAATTTTGTGAACCGTTACACCCCTAGTACCTAGTTGTTGCCCAGTAATTGTAATTACTATAATAAGTACATAGTATGTACATGGGTAACAGGACTGTAAAAGGAAGCGTTACCGGGGCTTTCGTACCGGGTAGTTCTAGGAACTTAGTTATAAGAACTAGCCACCAGGGTGGTTACCCGAGAACTAATGGTTCCCTTAGGAATGTTTTCCTGGTTGCATTCGCACCGCCAGTAGGTACTCTGAAGTGATGTAAGCCGTGATTTTTGTTGTGACTTTTATTTTGACGGCGCTCCGGACTTTTATTTTGACGGCGCTGAGAGACGTCAGCCAGAGCCTGAGGACACAGTGCTTGCATTCTCCGTGTTCATTAGTTTACGATCTGTCTAACAGTCCGGTCTTATACGTTATACATTCACATGTGTTCGGCCAATCAGCGTACACTACCGTCCCTGATAGTTCCTATAATGCTGGTTTAGACCCGGCTCTGAAGAAGGAGCTAAAGTATTTCCTCCAAAGTGGAGTTCCTAGAACTAAAATCGTTCCTAGTTCCTGTGGTGCGAACACGCCAAAATCCGGGTACTTCCGCCAATAGTTCTAGAAACTATAAAAAAGGTTCCTCCGGTGCAAAAGCCCCTTATGTATATAATGTATATGGTCTTCAACCAGAATACGTATTTTGCTACCACGGCACCGACAAATGCATTTTCAGCTTTTGACTGCTAAATTGCGCTTTTAGACTTCTACATGATATCAGGCAAACGTATCAAAGCGCATTTTCACAGTAGCAGTCTACCTTGCATTGCCAATGGGCTAGAAGCAGTCAGAGAAGATAAACTGTAGTTATATTCTGCATGAAACAGAAGTTATGGTTGAAATAATATAAGATGATAATATAATAAAAAATAAATACTTCCCTATTGTGACATATATCCAAGTGAATCAGCTATTCAAACAAGAAAAAAATGTGGGGCGGGGCTTGATTTTGTCTATTGGAAATTGATTGGATGGTTGTGGTTTGCTATTGGTGGATCTCATGTTTAAAATTTAAAATGATGTGCACAGATAAATCATTAGATAAATAAAGCTATTTTGTTGCATTTCAGAATATGTCAGGATGTAATTCATAATATAAACGGCATAATGGATTGGCGTAAACTAAAGAGTTTAAAAAAATAAGAGTGTTTGGAGACATTATCTTAAAAGAAAAACTGAATTTTTTTTTCATTGGAATAGCATTCACTGATGAAACGCTTACAATAAGACCGGGAACAACATGTATTAATAAAAAAAGTCCATTTTTATTTTATGTTAACTTCAACATTTCTAGGTGTGACCTTTGACCCTTTGCTTTGTCCCATAGGTCCTCCTGATGCTCCTTTGGATGTGCAGTTGGAGCAGGGCCCGTCTCCGGGAGTAGCTCAGATCAGCTGGCTGCCCGTTACTATAGATGCTGCCGGGACGTCCAATGGTGTCCGAGTCACTGGCTACACCATCTATGCTGACAAGAAGAAGGTGAATGACTGTGACCAATTTGCATAATTTTAACAAAATAACAAAAAAGTCATCTGAGAATAAGTCGACTTTATATTTTTATACTATAATTTATACTGTATAAATTATGTTTTATATTATATAAAAAGCAATTAAAAATGTGTATAAAACAGGCTAAGCGTAAATGTGCTTTATGCTTAGGATCTACATTTTTTACTGAAGTGTATGAACTACATGAATGATAAATTGTATGAATTTCTTTATAAAACTAAAACTAAAATTATAATACAAATACATGAAATACCCATATAATGATGAATATTTAAGTGCTCATCATATATGTTCCTTCTTCAATAGTTTAAAGTCCTCCTTAAAACGGCAGTGAACAGTCTCGGTTTGAAATCGCTTGTGTTTCTGACGTCACAAACTACCTTGTAACCAATCAGATCAACGTGTGATCGTCCACGAGTGGTTTTGCTGTGAGTTAGTGGAGGCGGGGCTAATTTATATTATTCATAGAACTGCGTATACTAACTGAGGCAGGGGTGTAGAGTTATATTCAAGCTATTTTAAGGCATGAAAAAATTATTCAAGGAAAAATGCTTAAATATGTCATTTTGGTGATCAAAGATGAGTTTTTAGGGATAAAATTATTGACTTCAGGAGGACTTTAATAGTGTGCACTTCATGAATGTCCGGAGTGAGCAGAGCTTAAATCTTGATGTTACTCAAATTTAAATTCACAAATTAATTTCCATTATTTCAGAGTGTTCATCGTGACTTAACGATTGCTTCTGTCTTCAGGTATTAGAGGTGTCGTCGCCCACAGCAGGCAGCGTTCTGATTGGTCCATCTCAGATCCAGACATTACAGGCGGCCCATGAGCTCACCGTCCGAACCATGTCAGCTTTTGGCGAGTCGGTGGACTCATTGTCGGTGAATGTGCCCGCCAAATTGCCTGCTATCATGTCCGGTGCCTCATTGCCTCAATGCCAGTCTTTGCCAGCTACCGCCAGTGTCCTCATGGCCAGTGCCAATCCAGACCCTGCTGTTTGTGCCACATCTCTCTCTGCTGCCAAAATGCCCATTCTGCCACACGCTGCTACACTAGACGAGCACACCATTGGTCCTGTTCGGGGAGTCTATGTCAACACGCCCAAAGTAGTCACTTGTGAGGTGCCTCCTTCTCCTGCGTCCTATGTAGAAGCCTGGGCAAACCCAACATCAACTGCAGCGCTGACGACTACAATGGCAGCACAAGAAGCACTGTCACTATGTGCCTCTCGTACTAACTCAACGGTGGGTCTCAAATAAATTTCTGCTTGTCTACAGTTTTATTCACTGCTCTGTGCAAGTAGTCATGTAGCAAACCCTTTTAGAGCCAAAAAAAAAATTTGTACACGTATGCGTTTCTTTATTCTGTGGAACACAAAAAAAGTATGTGTATGAATGCTGTCGAGATCCAAAAATGACAAAAAAACAACACCAAATTTATCATAAAAGTAAACAGTAGTGTTGCATAATGAGCTGACAATTTTTCTCTGTAACTCTGGGGTGTCTCCTCATGCCCTATTTATAAATAGTCAAACTCGAAATAGGTTTGAGAACTACAGAGGAAGTAAGACTTAAGTTTTATAAACCATGTAATATAAAGCCCTTAGTTCATTTTGTTGTTTGGAAAATAGCCAGGACATTCCACTTTTTTCAGATCTGATTTTTGGTTAAGATCATTAACCTTTTGCATCCCTGCTCTAAGCTTTAGCCACTGCATTTTGTCCTACTCGACCCACTTCTATTTCGATTCAAACGGGTCTCTCCGGCATGGGAGGCAGAGACGCTAACAAGTCCGCTAAAGACCACAGCCTCTAGTATCAGTTGCAAGCACACCTCTAAAGGCCTCTTGAGTTTTACACTCACAGCTCTTACTAGCTTGCCTCCATTACACTAACCCCTCTAAACCTTACTCCCATCTGGGTCACGGCACCAAATGTAACTGGTTCCACTCGACCCGCTCCGAGCAGGATTTGAACTGGCATCTCTGGCATGGGAGGCAGGCTCGCAAACAAAGACGCTAAAGACCGCAGCCTCTAGAGTCAATCGCTAGCAGTGTAGTTTTACACACACCGCTCTTACTAGCTTGCCTCTGTTGCACCAACCCTCCTAAACCTCACTCCCATACGGGTCACGGCACAAAATGTAACTGGTCTTACTCAACGCGCTCCACGCTTGCCTCCATTACACATTAACCCAATTTCATGTAGAGTATAGTTTCAGTTTATATATATTGTTTATTGTTTATATATTATATATAATGTTTCTCTTTAGGGTTGGGAATGAGTATTATATCAGTTTGAGTAGTAAAAGTGTTATCCATTAACAGGTGAGTGTATCTGCACCCATGGTCACACCTGCACCTGTGGTCATGTCCATGGCTGTACCTGCTCCCTTGAACGCACCAGTACACATGCCAGTGCCAGGTCCTGTGGTTGTGCCAGCATCTGCCACCATGCCTGTGCTCATTCCTGTACCTGCATCAGTGCAAGTGCAGTCCAGTGTGGCCCCTGCAGCGCTTAACCCCAGCAGAGAGACAGACAGCCCAGGAGTCCAACGTCCTGTTGCCTCCCTCTCCGAATTCCTGGAGGACCCCTGTGCCAAACTTCATACACCGCCACCAATTTACACATGCCCCAAAGTTAACATCCCAGGAAAGGAACCTCTTAATATCCCGGATACGCACCCACTGAGGCCTCCCAATCCATCGCCCTTTGAGTCAGAGCCTGAGGAGGACAGGGAAAACACCAGGCTTGTGTCCATGGAGGAGTTCCTGCGGCCTGTACCTCAACCTCGTATGAAGGTCAGTTTCCAAACCGAATCAGGAGACCATATGTGTACCTGTGCGATTAAGATCATTTTATACTGCACTCTTTTTGAATATCTTTTGATATACAAATTTATTCCATCAGAGAAACACCTTTTGATGCATGATGTTACTCTGATGTGAACTTTAGAGTAATTCATTAATTGATTTAAACATTGTGTTGTGCTAGTGCACTGGTGTCCAGTTCTGCTCCTGGAGGGTCACTGCCCTGCAAAGTTTAGCTCCAACCCCAATTAAACACACCTGAAATGGCTTATCAAGGTCTTTGGAATTACTTGAATCTTCCGGACAGGTGTGTTGGAGCAAGTTGGAATTAAACTCTGCATTAAGGTTGCCCTCCAGGAATGGACACCCCTGACCTAGAGACTCAGAAACCTGTTGAAATGGTTGTTTCTTTTGTACTCTATCAGGTATATGCTGGTGGTCTTATAGACACTCACCCAGACTATCATGGGGAGAGCAGTCGGTCTGATCTGTCAGACATACTGGAGGAAGAGGAAGAAGATCTGTACTCTGAGACTATAACTGACGTCCCCTCCAGAGGTTACGGTACAGCTTGTATGGGAAGGGTATGTACATGCACATGAACACTTAGTATTCCTCAGTGAACCTTTGGACAAAATGTTGAGTCTTGTTGCGACGTGGCAAGTTCTGATTGGCTGTAATTGTGCCGTGTGATACAGCATTTTTGCTTGTTAAAATACAAAGTTAGCCATACTTTTCTGTTCTTTCTGTTCTTATATTTCCTCTGTTGCATTTTAATTTTCTTGTTTCTTTTTCTTGTTTTCTTCTATTTTCAACTTTTGACACCAAACAAAACCAACCTTTTTCCTCATCTGTATGTTTTCAATCTATCGCCTTGTCCTTTACTACTTCTAAAACAACCCCAGTGTGAAATGTGGGAAACTGATAGTGATGAAGAAATTTGGGAGAAGCTTATAAAGCTCCCCCCTCAGGTCTACCACAACAAACATCTCTTCAGCATCCCAGAAGTCACGGAAGAGGAAGACAACACCGAATCAGAACCCTATACTAGACGTTCCCCAGGCCGGACTGCTTCAGGCAAGGGCCACCAGAGTGGACGCGAGGGTCGCCGACATTCTCCCTTCCACCAAAAACATGGACATAAAACTGAATCTGAATCGCCCGTAGTGAGGTACAAAGGGACAGCGCCAGTCAGGACTAGACCCAGAGTGCACTATGCTGACACAGTGGACACCATCAACTATCAGGATGAGGAGGAGGTGGAGTTGGACTCTGATAGTAGCCTGTACGCTGGGCCTAGTTCTGGAAGTGTGGGTGTGCGCCGCACACCCCACAAAGCACATGGCGATCGACTCAGGAGAGAGGCCTTACTCCGTAGCCAGATGTCTTCAGATCTCTCTGGCATTGTGGCATCTTCAGGAACAGGGCAGGGACCGTATTTAGTTAGCAAGACCGTACACCGTGTGAAGTCGCCCACTGGACCCTCGACAGAGATTGACGTAGATTATGGAACTGATAATGATGAGGAGCAACAGCTGTTTGACCCTGGAGAAGTTGTATTAGACCAGATGAGCTCTGAGTGGTGGGTGGAGGGTGGTAACAATGAGTACCACAACCTGCCCCTGACATGCAGATCCCAGCCAGAGCTGCCCCCAAGCAACCGCTCATGGGTGGGTTGTCCTCTGTCCATTTGTCTCCTGCTGTCCCTTGAGATGCCTTCTTTGAGAAACCTGCCCATCCCTTTAGGAGATGGCTAAAACCTTTTGCGTCCTAAAAGCAAAGATGAGCGCTGGTTTGCACCCACATCATTTGCTGTTCTTATCAGTTCACTGTAGCTTAACTTTTCCAACTTGCAGAATCATAGTTGAAAGGCTTAGAATGTGTTCTCGAATTTAGCAATGACGATCTTAAGAAATTGAGCAGTTATGGTTCTAGTTCCACTTAATGATTTCATTAAGATTTAGAGTTAAGAGTAGTTTTGAGAAAATGTGGACAATATTATTGCATTCACTACCCTAGCACCTCTGATATGTATATTCCATGTTAAGTTGTTAAGGAAGAATGCCGGAAGGAAGTTGTTAGGGAAGAATGTTACAGAACTGTTAATGTAACTGAAAGTCAGAACGAAACCAAACGTCCGTTGTGAATAAGACGTGGCCCTCGATTCCAAACTCTACATGGAGTTAGCATTTCAAATGCATTAATTTACCACATTTGATGTTAAGTGGTTATTGTGCAACATGGGATTCCACCAAGTACACAGTGACTCCCGAACACTAATTTTACTGTGGATGCAAAAGGTTTAAGTCTGTACATCTCGTTCCTTGCATTTGGTTGTGTACCCTACACCCTTTCTCCCAGTCTCTAGTCAAGGCATCTTCATATTTGTAGTTGTGTAGCTGACAGCACTTCTCTATGTATTTGTCCTACATCTTACTGTACTCTTTCCAGTGTTCAGTTAGAATGTTGCTATGCTAAGGCCTTGGCTTTCCATTACCGCTCAAGAGGTTTACTTGCTGTAGTGCATCTCCTTTCCTTGATATTAAGGGGATGCTTCTTGCCCCACATGTTGTCAAGGTTGTCCAGAGACTGCTTAAGCAGTTAAAGCAAAGACTGGACAATACAGATGTGTGTTTGAAACTGTATGTTGTACCTGCAAAAGGGATCTCCTTGTTGTTCTTATAATTCCTCGGTGTTGTTATGAAGAACAACCCTAAGTGCTGCTGCTTTTTATCTGGAATCAAATGTTGCTAAAACAATAGTTTTGTGTGTGTGTGTGTGTGTGTGTATTTCAGGGCTCCAGGCTAATTACTGATTCAACAAAAACCTTTGCATCACTTGCATCAATCTACAGCATTTTCCATTATTTGTATCTACAGTATTTGCCATCAGTATTTGGCATAGACACCAAAACTTCATATTGTAAAAATATGTGGCTTCTTTAAATACTCTAGAAAGGTGCACAAACACATATGCAAATACTTAGCCAATGCAATCGCAGTCAGTTGTAAATAGCTAGATAGCTTGAAGCTTGAATAGTTTTGTAGTCAGTTTCAGATCTTTTGGTTAGCAGGTAGTAAGCTACGTAAACTTCACATTGGAACACGGACTACTGCAAATGTTCAAAAATGCAAGCGTGGCAATTCATATATTATGGACTGTTATTTGCCAAGTAAAAAGTATAACTTGGCCCCAAAATGCTTTATTAGCAGCAAGTGGCTCACAAGTGATTGTTCTAGTCTGGAGCCCCTAGTGTTCATATGTGGTATTACATGCAGTTTGTGTGATGGTGCCGTCATCCCACCGTGATGTTAGTCAGTGACTGTTTCCCACCAATTGTCATCATCTAACTGTCTGTTTCTCTTACATCAGGAGGCAGCTGGAAGAGAAGATCCAGGTGCAACGTGGTGCGATGTCACTCAAAAATCAGCACGCTCTGAAATTAGACTGCATAGAGGTGAGACTCTCTCACTTCCCTCTCTCTCACTATAGAAGCAGATTAACTCTAGACAGCTTGTCATGACACAGGAGGAATTGACAACTATGAAAATAGCTTCCGGGATAATACCTGACCACTGTGTACTGCATACAGCTCTCGTTTAGATCACATCCATCTCAGATTCTTCCCAACCCACCCAACTTTAGACTGCCCTTCTTCTCCAAATGTACTTTCAACCACACCCACATGTGTGTCAGCCCAATCTAAATTGGGACTTCTTTTGTTCCTAGATAAAACTAATAAGTATTGTTTTCTGAGACTGATTTATTGCTCATTCTTAGGGTTACTGATTTGATTAAAACCTAGGTACATAGATTGCCTAGGAACTCGCTTGTTAAAGGGATACTCCACCCAAAAATGAAAATTCTGTCATCATTTACTCACCCTCAAGTTGTTGCAAACCTGTATGAGTTTTTTTCTTCTGCTGAACACAAAGGAAGATATTTTGAAGAACGATTGGAACAGTTGTTTGGCACCATTGACTTCCATAGTAGAAAAAAAAAATACTATGGAAGTCAATGGTGCCAAAGTTCCAATCGTTCTTCAAAATATCTTCCTTTGTGTCCTCCGATTTCCAACTTTTGGATTAAAGTCTCTTCTGTTCTATCACAACTTTTGGAATTGACAATCGATCCTGAGCCATGTCTTTTCCTTCTTAACAATGTCCCCTCTGATGCCTTTACGTTAAATCAAAAACGGACTCTTTTCTCTGGGTTAACAGCTGCCAAGAAAGCCATAATTAGTTCTTGGTTTCCTCCTAATTCGTTGTCAAAACAGCAATGGTTGTCCTATTTTATAGATATCGTTCGTTTGGAACGATCCTCTGCCTTAATTAATAGAGCAAAGATTAAAACTATTGGGCACTGGAGCCGAATTCATGACAGCCTGATTTCTATTATTAAGACTTAAGTGATCTAATGGTGTAGGAGAGTACACCAAGATGTAAATCAAGGCAAATGTGACTGTTTTCCTGTTATTTTATAGATGCTTTAGGCCCTGTTTACACGAAAACGATTCCGGGTGAAAACGTAATAATATTTTATCGGATGTGCCTTTCGTTTACACGGCGACAGCGTTTTTGGGGCTTAAAAACGCAAAAAAGTGAAACCACGCTCCAAAGTGGAAATCTTAAAAACGCTCCACCGTCGCGTTTCCGTCTAAACGGGTAAAAACGCAAATCTGCTCATGGCGGCTCTCGTCGCGTACGCATTTACGTCACAGGCATGCGCCAGTACAGGAAAATAACAACCAACATGTCGGATTATTTCCATACGTCGGACCTTCAAGTTGCCCTAGCAGCTCTGATAAACGTCCAAGAGTCTTTTCAATTTCGCGCTACTAGGGAGAGAAGTAGAAGGAAGGTTGTACGCAGGCGCACGGACTTGTTGTTGTTGTGTGGCAGTGCTTCACATTGCCACCTAGCCGCCTGGAGTGCATACTACATCGCATTTCTAACACTTTTGCGTCTCCATATGCACGCAGATTTCCCCCCCATAACGCTCGTCTAAACGCAGAATAAAAAGTGAAAACGAAACGCCACTTTTGCGTTTTCTCTTCAGATCGTTTCCGTGTAAACATGGCCTTAATCATCTTTATCTCAATAGACACTTTCAATCTGTAAATGACCTATCTCTGGCATTGTATATAGTTCCAATTTAATAAAAAATAAAAAATCTTTTCTTTTTTTCTCATTACTATTATTATTCCTTTTGTGTATCTGTCTCTATTGTGTATATTGTTATTTGTTATCAGCTATGTCTTCCACACTGAAATAATTCAGAGAAAATGCTAATTCTGGTAACCTTGTTTGTAAGAAAAACAATAAACTATTGGTCATAAAAAAATATACATCTTCCTTTGTGTTCAGCAAAAGAAAGAAACTCATACAGGTTTGCAACAACTTGAGGGCGAGTAAATGATGACAGAATTTTCATTTTTGGGTGGAGTATTCCTTTAAGGAATGCTTTCTATGTGATCAGATGCACATTTTATTTGATTTAAAACCCACAAATATGAATTGGTGGAGAGTCAAGTCATGTCTAGTGACCATAATATCACAGAGATTTTGAAGTGGACAACTAATATACACCATTGCACTTTTACTATATTTTACAAAATTTGTACTATTTTTTTTAATCTGTGTTTCCTTTGACGACATCCCCAAAAGGAGGTTTTCCCAAAGGTAGCTATTTTTTTCTGAATATTTGCCCTTAAATGTGACTCACAGAGGTTGTGAAATGACCTCTTTTCTTTGCCCTGCCCTTGATTGTTGCTACAGATGGTCTTGATCCTCACTAATGAGATGAGCACATCTCACTGCTGGAGCTTAACACGAACACGACAGATACCACTGATCATGCATCTCTGTTTTACACTGTATTCCTTAACCCGCCCCCTTCCAACTCATCCAGAAACAGGAATACAATCCTGATGAATTCAGGGTGCTGCTGACCCTCGACCTCTTGGCCTTGAGTCCGGCTGTCAGACTCCAAAGTACAGAACAGCAGTTTTATTTTGCATGCATGTCCAATATATAGGACAGATGGTTTTGGGGGGGCATTTGTGTTTGGTTTACATTTATTTACAGTTTGCATTTTCATTTATTTATTTAGTAGACACTTGGGTGACTTAAATTAATGCATTTTTATCTACAGTCTCCTACAAGTCAAGTCATGTCATCCTCATTTATATAGCGCTTTTAACAACGTAGATTGTTTCAAAGCAGCTTTACAGAGATAAACATATAATTTAAGCTAACAGAGATTGGTTGAATCAATTCATGTAGTAATCCATCGATTGGCACAATCTGAATCTGAGGTGCTTATCAATATCAGTAAGAACCTTATTAAAAATTGAGCACCAATAATGATGGAGCATATTCAAATGGTTTCTGAAGGATAATGTTAGACTGAAGATTGGAGTAATGAAGCTGAAAATTCAGCTTTGTAGTCACAGGAATAAATTGCATTAATAATTTAAAAAATGTATTGAAGTGGAAAACAGTTCTGTATTAATATTTTTGAATTGTACTGTTTTTAATGTATTTTTCATTACATAAATGCAGCTTTGGTGAGCCTAAACATCTTTCAAAAACTCAATTACTCCCAACTTTTGACCAGTCAGGTCATTTTAATCTGGTCCATAAGAACATTATTCAAAATCACAAAGTTTGTTGGTATCTGAATAGACATTGGTGTGTCTTTCTCTGTTCCTGTCGCTCTCACTCTGTGTCACTCATGTGCGCACGTTTCTCTAGCGGCTCATGGCGGCTTAGGATCAGGAGGTTTTAGTATGATTACCTCACTTAAGGACACGCCTGGGCCGCACCATTCTTTTGTTTCAGGCGGGGGAGACAACGCACATTAGTTCACTGGCTTTAATGTTTGGAGTGCATCAAGGAAAATTGTCTAAAATAATTTGTTTTATTCTAATGCTGTAACGAAACTTTGCACAGCTTCCCAAAAAATTTAAATATGCATGATGTCCAGATCAACCAGCAATGTGTTGCTGCATATAAATGTTACAGGTGTGTTTGTGTGTACTCTTTGGTGTTGCAGAGCCCAGACCATGTGGGGAAAATGAAGTCAGAGTCTTTGTTGCCCTCTTCCCCTATGAACCTGCAGTCATGTCACCCAATCCTGATGCTGTTGAAGAGGAACTTCCCTTTAAAGAGGGACAGATTATCAAGGTTTGACTTAGTTGCATTTCATTTTGTGATTTTTCACTTGTATTCGTCTTTAAAGGGTTAGTTCACCCAAAAATTAAAAAACTCTGTCAGTAATTACTCTCCCTCATGTTGTTCAACCCCGTAAGACTTTCGTTCATCTTCAGAACACAAATTAAGATATTTGTGATTAAATCTGAGAGCTGGATCACTCCTCCATAGGCTGCTTAAGGGATCGAAACTGGCCGGCCCAGAAAAGTTATTAAAGACATCGTTAAAATAGTCCGAGTGACTACAGTGGCTCAATCTTAAGTTTATCAAGCGACGAGAATACTTTTTGTGCGCAAAAAACACAAAAATAAAGACTTTATTCAACTATTCATTTCCTTCTCTGTGGGCCGTGATATTTCACGTAGTGAAACTACGCAAAGCTTCTAGGTTGTACGTCACGCATCACACACATTTTGATTTGATTTGATTAATTAGACAAATTAGTAGTGAAAAATACACTCATTTGTCAAGGATAACACAATAAAGTAAAAAAAAAACTTATTTCCATTGTGGTCCTTGATGTAAAGCACAACTTCACTCCTAGAGACAGATTATCATGGCACTGTATACTGGTATATTTACAACACTACAATAAAAATACACATTACCAAACTATACATCATACTTAGACATCATACATCATAATTAGACATTCACCAAACATGAATACAAATAAGTCACTAATACAACTTATCCAATAACCAACTTCTGACTTTTGTGTTAAAACCAACCGTATTTGACATACTCTTTATATGACCAGCATCGGCCAATAGTGAGCCCACGTGTGACCTGCAACCTAGAAGCTTTGCGCAATATCACTACGTGAAATCTCACGGCCCACAGAGAAGGAAATGAATAGTTGAATGAAGTCGTTATTTTTGTTTGTTTTTTGCGCACAAAAAGTATTCTCGTCGCTTGATAAACTTAAGGTTGAGCCACTGTAGTCACTCGGACTATTTTAACGATGTCTTTCATAACTTTTCTGGGCCGGCAAGTTTCGATCCCTTAGAAGCCTATGGAGGAGTGAGACAGCTCTCAGATTTAATCACAAATATCTTAATTTGTGTTCTGAAGATGAACGAAAGTCTTACGGGGTTGAACAACATGAGGGAGAGTAATTAGTAGCTATGTTTCCATCCACACGTTTTTATCCACATTAAGTGATATCGAATGAAAAATGCCTTATGGAAACAGTAAAATTCGATTGAATTTCATGAATATCGACTCAAATGAAATACGATCGGTCTCATCAGATTTTATCTTGATGGATATACGGCTTATGCGATAAACGCGGATGGAAACGTTATTATGGTGCGATCCATTTTGCCTAGTAAAACTTTGTTCGCAAATGTTGGCTTGAATGTTGTGCAATTCAGTGAGAAAATGAATGGAAACACCTTAACATGTCTCAAAAATTCTATATACCAATTTGATCGCAAAACAGCATGTGACGTCATTACACACAGGTTTTTATCCGCTTTAAAGCCGTTTGATGGAAACACACTTTCACCAGCTTTATTCGCATGAGGTTTTTTACCGAACTTCAGATAATTCGATTGACAAGTGGATGGAAACATGGCTACTGACAGAGTTTTTATTTTGGGGTGAACTAACCCTTTAAGCTTAAAGTCAGCATGAAACATAAGTTGCGATAGTCTTTTCTTTCCTACTGTGACATACAGTCCTAGTCAGAATTATTGGCACCCTTGCATTAATAAACACCCTTGCAATAAATCTGCATTGTTAATCCTTTTGACCTTTTATTTGAAAAACTCACAAATTATAACCTTTCATCGAAGTAAAACAATTGAAAATGGGGGGGGGGAGAAATCTCATTATGAAATATATGTTTTTCTCTAATACACATTGGCCACAATTATTAGCACCCTTGGTAAATATGAACAAAGAAAACTGTGAAAATAAATCTGCATTGTTAATCCTATTGACCTTTTATTAAAAAACTCACAAAAATCGAACCTTCCATTGAAGTAAAACAATGAAAATAGGGGGAAATCTCATTATGAAATATATGTTTTTCTCTAATACACATTGGCCACAAGTAATGCCCCCCTTTTATTCAATACTTTTTACCACATGAGTTTGAAGATCAGAGACCATTCCTCTATAGAGAATCTCTCCAGATTCCCAAGTCCGTGTTGATACACTCTCCTCTTCGGTTTTCTATAGGGTTCAGGTTTGGGGACTGTTGTGTTGTTTGTTTTGGATCATTCTCCTGATGGAAGATCCAACCACGGCTCATTATAAGATTTCTATAAGGCAAACCTGTCTATATAAGCCTTCAAAATGTGTCTCCACACAGATACACAGCAAAAACATGCCACTGTACATAAATCATTCAAAATATAATAAAGTTCCTGTTCAAAGTTCATTGCAGTGTTTCTTCTCTTCAGGTTTATGGGGACAAAGATGCAGATGGTTTCTACCGAGGCGAGTCGGCTGGTCGTCGTGGCTTTGTCCCATGTAATATGGTTTCAGAGATCCAGGTTGATGATGAGGAGAGCAGAGACCAGCTCCTGATGCAGGGCTTCCTCACCACAGAGGCATCTATGGAAAAGATAGGTGTGTTTATCATTGCATGTGTCAGACTCGTACATCTACACATCGATCTCGGTTTTCACTCCAACATAGCATGTTACCAGTCAGATTTGAGACTTCTAGGGAAAGCAAACTGTTCTTTTATGATAGCTTTGTACTCCAGTGAGCGGCCTACCTAGACAGCATTGAAGGCATCACACGTGCAAAGGCTTGAAATGTTTGAACTGATACTTTTGAAATAGATACTTTTATACTTCGATTGGAAATTTTGACATATATTCAGCTAGCCTGGGAAAACCCAGACAACTTCCGGCAAATTTAGATTTGCTCTGAAAGTTAGTCTGGCAAAGAGCTCATTCAAGCCCATTTCCAATCCGTCGAAATCGAGGCACCAGTCAGAAGCGTTGGGGCGGGCTTTACACGATGACGACAGCGCTGGGATTTTGAAGCAGATTTTGTAGCCTACATTACAAAGATGGATGCCGCCGTCGAACATCACTCGCTCCAATCAGCTATCGCGTCTGTTTTAAGCAATTTGAACGTTTCCTTTTTGTTAAAAACCGAGCAAAGAACAACACTCGGAGATGTGTCTCTGCTAGGGCTGAGCAATTTTATCGATTCTGCGATATAAATCGATATTTTTTCCCCCAAGAAAGTATCGATTTTTAAGGCGTGAGTATCGATACATAAGTCCCATTCAAATCCCCCGTGTTTAACTTAGCCCGTCAAGTGGCCGTTCACATATCGTGTCTTTTGCGCACTCAAGTTCGTTATTTCAAATGTAGGCGCGGCAAGCGCGTTCATAATTGAAGCGACGTGCTCATTTTTCCCAGGCGCAGCGAGATGAAAACGCCTCAACTTTTCATAATGCCGCCAGCGCACCGCAGTTCATGTGACAAGAACCAACCATCAGCTTCACCCTTTCCATAACAACATTGAAAGCTCGGTCAACATGAAGGATGGGGGTGCACCCAAACACTACAAGTGTTTTTCTCTTCTCCGTAAATAAATCTTGTAATTTAGCAGAGCTACAGCAAGGGTTTTTCGGTGGTGGAAATCTATTAGCTGCTAAAACTTCTTTGTCGTTGTGGAGAGCGCAGTTCATGGTTGCTTAGCAACGACAGACGCCACGGGAAAATCGGACCGAATTTTACTATTAATAATAAAAGATAAGCTAATGTGCACTGTAAATGTCAGTAATTTATCTTTTTTTGACTCATTCTGTTATAAAAAATGATTTAAAGGCTGAAATATTTGAGGTTTATCTTTTTATAAAACCTTTTTTCTCAAAACTTTATTTGCACTTTTTAACTCTCCATTGTTAATTGTAATACTGCACTTTATTTACTTTTCAAAGGCTTGTAAGCTACAGTTTGCACTGTTTCAATAAATGGAACTAATTTTCTCAACACATCTTTGATTCATTTTGTCCAGCATTTGCAAGCTGTAGACTCTGTCCAGTCAGAGACATGTATTGTGTAACTGATGTTTTTAGTTTTCAGTTCAATTAATTCAATCCAGTTGAACACTCACAAGATGTCACCAAAATCACTCTGTCCCCTTTAAATCTTTCAGAAAATTATGTAAGTGTATCGAATTATATCGAATCGTATCGTTGGCTGAATATCGTGATATATATCGTATCGTGAGATTAGTGTATCGCTACAGCCCTAGTCTCCGCCGCTCTGCATACAATCATGGTGATGGCGCAGTGGATAAGACACATGCCTTTGGTGTAAGAGACCCGGGTTCGAATCCACTGTGAGAAACCAATGTGCCCCTGAGCAAGACACTTAACCCCTAGTTGCTCCAGAGGCGTGCGACCTCTGACATATATAGCAATTGTAAGTCGCTTTGGATAAAAGCGTCAGCTAAATGAATAAATGTAAATGTAAATCATCTCCTTCATCGCTCTGATTGGGTTTAGGTCTATCCGCGACGTCCGTTGGTGACGCCCCTCTGGAAATGATTTGTCTATGACGCTTTGCCAGACCATAACTCACTTACAACTGAGAATGCTCTGGTTTTAACCAGGCTAATATTCAGCAATAGCTATGTTTCAATCGAAATTTGCTGCAATCGGCTCTTTTTCCCTCCATCATAAATGAGTGTGTCTCAGAGCGTCAGACGAAACACAATAAACGCTGTCATGTTCTCTTGCGTTCGGATGCTGGTGTTTGTGAACACACTCGTGTGAGACGCTTCTGGAGGGAATTAAACCCAATCATTCTGATCACAGACTTTGACTCAGTGTTTTAGAAACACCAAACCAACATCTGAGATGCTGCGATCCCCGAGTTTTTTGTTGCACATCGAGGGATTTATTCAGTAAAAGTGTTTCCAATTTAGTTTATATGCATGTCTTCTTATCGGATAAAATTATATCCGCCTCAATTGAGCGCATACGTTTCTTGTTGTTTCCATCCAGCCTTTTTTTTTTTTTTTTTTTGCAATATTCCAAAAATACGCATAATAATAGGAGGATGGAAACAGCTACTGATGCATTGAATTGTTACAAAAAAATCTATTTCAAATAAATGCTGTTTTTTGAACTTTCTATTCATCAAAGAATCCTGAAAAATAAAATATATCACTGTTTCCATCAAAAATATGAAGCAGCACAACTGTTTTTAACTTTTTCTTGAGCATCAGATCATCATATTAGAGTGATTTCTGAAGGATCATGTGACACTGAAGACTGGAGTAATGATGCGGAACATTCACAGGAATAAATTACACTTTACTAGATATTCACATAGAAAACTGCTGTTTTAAATTGTAATGATATTAAAGTCAAGAGAAATGTTGATTATTATTTGTTTTTATGCACTATTGAAACGTATTCATTAAACATGTTTCCATCATCCAAAAATGGACTATTTCACCCAATATTTGTGTGTTCAATGTGCTTTGTGTTGCTATTTGATTACTGAGCATATGCTAACTTCAAACTGTCTTGAAATCAGCTGTAAGCATTAAAAAGCGCTCTAGATTCCCATCGGTCTTCACGACAGGATCTTAAAGTGCCGTCTAGGTAGAGAACTGACTAGGTTTTGGAGCAGAGCTGTAGTCTGACTGACAATTATTTATGGTCATATTTTGAGCATGGTTTTAGAATAAAAAATAAATCTCTTAACTCTCTATAATCGTCCAAAGAAAAAGCCACAATCCAGCCACAGCTGACAGCTAGAATTACATTTTTAGACACAAGCTTTAAAATAGGCTTCAAGCTAACTACTTTGAGGAACTTCAGTTTCTTACCTACAGTATTTAAGCTCTTAAAGTGTTAGCAATGGGAAAGTGCCACTTTTAAGTACTTCATAACGGTGCATGCAGTATTTTTTTCTCTCATTTAAGGAAAGACGTACAGGTAAAACCATGTTTTTTAAAGCACTTGTCAATTTTGTAGTTAGTGAAAACATCCAAAATAAAATACACATTTAAGTGTTTGTTTTATTGCACTTTATCTATTTGAGTCTGTAGATTTCAAAGGGTTGTCTTTAAAGGATGAGGGTTTTTTTCCACTTCAATCTTCACTTCAGCAGCTTTACATACACCAAACCAAACTGTTGACAGCATTTTCCGATTCATGGAGTGATAAAAAGAGAAATCCCAAATCCACTCTGTAAAAACCTTTAACTCTAATGTGTTTTTACAAACATAACAAACAATGAAACAAGAATTCTGAACCTGACTTTATTCATTGTTCTGGAAATGTATGAAAATGCATGCATATTTAATTAGATAATGCATCATTTGCATATTTACACATTTCAGAAATCTTATAAAACAAAACAATTGTAATGTTCTGTCATTAATCAACTTGGAGAAATATGGTGATATCTAATAGTTAAACATTTTTACTCCATTCACCTATAGTGTCTTGTATTGTACTTTTTAAAAATTATGTAAAAAATGGCCACCGTGTTGATGTCACATGATCAGCCGAATACTACTCACTTTATCTCAGTCTGTTATTAATTTAATTTGGTTCATGTTTCACAGTGTCAGTTTCATTTCAGATCACAAAGCTTTGCCATTTTTACAAAAGAGCCGTTGTAATGTGTGTGTTTTTGTGGTCACTGTATGAGCAGTTCAAAGAGCAACAACGTGGATCGTGTCTCCCAGAATGCTTTGCTACAGTTGCCGTTCAGCCCTTTCTTTCTCACTTTGGCGGCTCATTGTTGAAGCTAATGCTTATTCTGTTGTTTAAAGAGATAGTTCACTCAAAAATGAACATTCTGTCATAATTTACTCACCCTCATGTCACATCACATTTGAGCTTCTGCAAGAACCAATGAGGTTCATTCTCGTGTTACGCATCACGTTGGAGCTTCAGCAAGAACCAATGAGGTTCATTCTCGTGTTACGCATCACGTTTGAGCTTCTGCAAGAACCAATGAGGTTCATTCTCGTGTTACGCATCACGTTTGAGCTTCAGCAAGAACCAATGAGGTTCATTCTCGTGTTACGCATCACGTTTGAGCTTCTGCAAGAACCAATGAGGTTCATTCTCGTGTTACGCATCACGTTTGAGCTTCAGCAAGAACCAATGAGGTTCATTCTCGTGTTACGCATCACGTTGGAGCTTCAGCAAGAACCAATGAGGTTCATTCTCGTGTTACGCATCACGTTGGAGCTTCAGCAAGAACCAATGAGGTTCATTCTCGTGTTACGCATCACGTTTGAGCTTCAGCAAGAACCAATGAGGTTCATTCTCGTGTTGCGCATCACGTTTGAGCTTCTGCAAGAACCAATGAGGTTCATTCTCGTGTTACGCAGCACGTTTGAGCTTCAGCAAGAACCAATGAGGTTCATTCTCGTGTTACGCATCACGTTTGAGCTTCAGCAAGAACCAATGAGGTTCATTCTCGTGTTACGCATCACGTTTGAGCTTCTGCAAGAACCAATGAGGTTCATTCTCGTGTTACGCATCACGTTTGAGCTTCAGCAAGAACCAATGAGGTTCATTCTCGTGTTACGCATCACGTTTGAGCTTCAGCAAGAACCAATGAGGTTCATTCTCATGTTACGCATCACGTTTGAGCTTCAGCAAGAACCAATGAGGTTCATTCTCGTGTTACGCATCACGTTTGAGCTTCAGCAAGAACCAATGAGGTTCATTCTCGTGTTACGCATCACGTTTGAGCTTCAGCAAGAACCAATGAGGCTCATTCTCATGTTACGCATCACGTTTGAGCTTCAGCAAGAACCAATGAGGTTCATTCTCGTGTTACGCATCAGGTTTGAGCTTCAGCAAGAACCAATGAGGTTCATTCTCGTGTTACGCAGCACGTTTGAGCTTCAGTAAGAACCAATGAGGTTCATTCTCATGTTACGCATCACGTTTGAGCTTCAGCAAGAACCAATGAGGTTCATTCTCGTGTTACGCATCAGGTTTGAGCTTCAGCAAGAACCAATGAGGTTCATTCTCGTGTTACGCATCAGGTTTGAGCTTCAGCAAGAACCAATGAGGTTCATTCTCATGTTACGCAGCACGTTTGAGCTTCAGCAAGAACCAATGAGGTTCATTCTCGTGTTACGCATCACGTTTGAGCTTCAGCAAGAACCAATGAGGTTCATTCTCGTGTTACGCAACACATTTGAGCTTCTGCAAGAACCAATGAGGTTCATTCTCGTGTTACGCATCACGTTTGAGCTTCAGCAAGAACCAATGAGGTTCATTCTCGTGTTACGCAACACATTTGAGCTTCTGCAAGAACCAATGAGGTTCATTCTCGTGTTACGCATCACGTTTGAGCTTCAGCAAGAACCAATGAGGTTCATTCTCGTGTTACGCATCACGTTTGAGCTTCAGCAAGAACCAATGAGGTTCATTCTCGTGTTACGCATCACGTTTGAGCTTCAGCAAGAACCAATGAGGTTCATTCTCGTGTTACGCATCACGTTTGAGCTTCAGCAAGAACCAATGAGGTTCATTCTCGTGTTACGCAGCACGTTTGAGCTTCTGCAAGAACCAATGAGGTTCATTCTCATGTTACGCAGCACGTTTGAGCTTCTGCAAGAACCAATGAGGTTCATTCTCGTGTTACGCATCACGTTTGAGGTTCTGCAAGAACCAATGAGGTTCATTCTCGTGTTACGCATCACGTTTGAGCTTCAGCAAGAACCAATGAGGTTCATTCTCGTGTTACGCATCACGTTTGAGGTTCAGCAAGAACCAATGAGGTTCATTCTCGTGTTACGCATCACGTTTGAGGTTCTGCAAGAACCAATGAGGTTCATTCTCGTGTAACGCAGCACGTTTGAGCTTCAGCAAGAACCAATGAGGTTCATTCTCGTGTTACGCATCACGTTTGAGCTTCAGCAAGAACCAATGAGGTTCATTCTCGTGTTACGCAGCACGTTTGAGCTTCTGCAAGAACCAATGAGGTTCATTCTCGTGTAACGCATCACGTTTGAGGTTCAGCAAGAACCAATGAGGTTCATTCTCGTGTTACGCATCACGTTTGAGGTTCTGCAAGAACCAATGAGGTTAATTCTAGTGTTACGCAGCACGTTTGAGCTTCAGCAAGAACCAATGAGGTTCATTCTCGTGTTACGCATCACGTTTGAGCTTCAGCAAGAACCAATGAGGTTCATTCTCGTGTAACGCATCACGTTTGAGGTTCAGCAAGAACCAATGAGGTTCATTCTCGTGTTACGCATCACGTTTGAGCTTCTGCAAGAACCAATGAGGTTCATTCTCGTGTAACGCATCACGTTTGAGCTTCAGCAAGAACCAATGAGGTTCATTCTCGTGTTACGCATCACGTTTGAGCTTCAGCAAGAACCAATGAGGTTCATTCTCGTGTTACGCATCACGTTTGAGCTTCAGCAAGAACCAATGAGGTTCATCCTCGTGTTACGCATCACGTTTGAGCTTCTGCAAGAACCAATGAGGTTCATTCTCATGTTACGCATCACGTTTGAGCTTCTGCAAGAACCAATGAGGTTCATTCTCATGTTACGCATCACGTTTGAGCTTCAGCAAGAACCAATGAGGTTCATTCATAGCCTAAATTCAATATGTTCATCATATAAAAGCGATCGGGTCTCTTCAGAAAATATGGACTAAACCGCTCAGTTCATTTGGATTACTTTTACGATCTCTTTATGAACTTTTTGAAGCATCAAAGTGGTGGTGGGACAGAAACCTCAGATTTCATTCAAAATACATTCACTTGTGTTTCAAAGGTGAACGAAAGACTTGTGTGTTCAGAACGACATGAGGGCGAGTAAAAGATGGCAGATTGTTCATTTTTGGGTGAACTAAACCTTTAATCTCTTGTTTTCAGCTTGGTTCTTGTTTTCAGCTTGGTTCTTGTTTTGCTTTTCTTTTGGCTTCTCATTCATTCTTGTCTGCCTACTTGTCTTTTTTTCCCTCGTATCCTGTTTAAATTTCATAAAGACGCCCGCTTACATGCACCGCTTCCACGCCGCACCGCTGCACCGCCGAAACCTAGACGCTCCAAGAAAGGTGTGTGTCAGCGCTCGTGTCTCCTCCTTCACCCCCTCCCAGATTTCACCTGCGTTTGGTTTGCTGAATTCCCAGCTTTCTGCTTCTGCATCAGGAACTCTGACCAAAGGGGGATACGAGCATTAGATATTCTTAGTGTTTTATTTTTCAACCACAGTCAGCATGAAATCAAAACTAACCTTTTAGTTATTCCAAATAAATATTCCTGGTTTTACTCTGCATGATTCAATGCATGTTATTGTAATGAAAACAATGCGTGAAAATGCAATAACTTTTGTGCTGATATATGCAAGGCTTTTCAGACAGAGAAAAGCAATATTAACCAATATGACATTCCATAATGAGTGCATTAATTGGAACTGCTATTTTTCTTCTGCCTCTTCTACTTTTCTTTTTCTTATCTTTAAAAGAAAAAAGAAAAAATAAGCTTAAAAATATAAAAATAATAATATAAAATTTAAATTGACATTGTCAATTTCCATTCTTTTTGTAGAAAAATTATGCAATTTTTTTAATATAATAATAATAATAATATTACAAATGTTTGTCGTAATTGACATTTTTCTAAAGAAAATAAGCTGCAAATTGAAAATATAAAATAATAACAACCATATATAAATTGATAATATATAATAAAATATATGTTGTGGTAATTGACATTATGCATTTACAGAAAAAAAGAAGCTAAAAATAAAAAAACAATATATAATATATAATAACAATGCATATTATAAACAATATTATAATATAAAATATAACTATTATTTTTTGTGGTACATAATGCCATAAATGTTGTCAAACTAAACTTGTATTTCACCTGGGATAATTCCTTTAAACTTTACTTTCTAATGCTTGTACTCTCAACCCCCTTTGGTCAACTCACCATCTCTCACTGAAGTGTGTGTGTGTGTGTGTGTGTGTGTGTGTGTGTGTGTGTGTGTGTGTGTGTGTGTGTGTGTGTGTGTGTGTGTGTGTGTGTTTGTGGCTCATGAATGCTGCACTCATAAGCTCAATAATTTTATTTGGTTTTGTTTAGTTTGATTAGTCTTTTTCCCCATAATTCCAAGTGTCAATCAAGGTCAGGCAGCCAATCAGATCGTGTCTAACCCTTCCCTCCTCCCTCACTTCTGTCCTTCTCCAGTGGAGTCTTCTGCGGTGTGGGAGGACACGTCTGCTATAGACTCCTCCAGTCAAGGTTTGAAACCCTCAGTCCCGTCCTGTTTCTCTCTCTCACTTCTTCGTCATGTCTTCCTCCTCGGATATTTTCCAGCCGCATGTGTGTGACAGTTTAATTGCATATTAACGTGCTCTCGGATGATGCAGCGCTGCATGCTTTTACCATGGAGACGTGCCCTCATCACTAATTATGTTCTAACCACTAATTATCTTTCAGTCTCGCGTTTGACAGTTGGCCTTCTTTCCATCATGGTTGATTTTTGTTCACTTTGTGACCTGCATGTGATTTCTGTCATAAGTGCCTTTTTATTCTTTTCTCTCTTTTTATCAAGCAGTAGATATCAGAAGTTTTGCAAAGCCAGAAATATATATATATATATATATATATATACACTCACCGGCCACTTTATTAGGTACACCTGTCCAACTGCTCGTTAACACTTAATTTCTAAGCAGCCAATCACATGGCGGCAACTCAGTGCATTTAGGCATGTAGACATGGTCAAGACAATCTCCTGCAGTTCAAACCGAGCATCAGTATGGGGAAGAAAGTTGATTTGAGTGACTTTGAACGTGGCATGATTGTTGGTGCCAGAAGGGCTGGTCTGAGTATTTCAGAAACTGCTAATCTACTGGGATTTTCACGCACAACCATCTCTAGGGTTTACAGAGAATGGTCCGAAAAAGAAAAAACATCCAGTGAGCGGCAGTTCTGTGGGCAGAAATGCCTTGTTGATGCCAAAGGTCAGAGGAGAATGGCCAGACTGGTTCGAGCTGATAGAAGGGCAACAGTGACTGAAATAACCACTCGTTACAACCGAGGTATGCAGCAAAGCATTTGTGAAGCCACAACACGCACAACCTTGAGGCGGATGGGCTACAACAGCAGAAGACTCCACCGGGTACCACTCATCTCCACTACAAATAGGAAAAAGAGGCTACAATTTGCAAGAGCTCACCAAAATTGAACAGTTGAAGACTGGAAAAATGTTGCCTGGTCTGATGAGTCTCGATTTCTGTTGAGACATTCAGATGTTAGAGTCAGAATTTGGCGTAAACAGAATGAGAACATGGAACCATCATGCCTTGTTACCACTGTGCAGGCTGGTGGTGGTGGTGTAATGGTGTGGGGGATGTTTTCCTGGCACACTTTAGGCCCCTTAGTGCCAATTGGGCATCGTTTAAATGCCACGGCCTACCTGAGCATTGTTTCTGACCATGTCCATCCCTTTATGGCCACCATGTACCCATCCTCTGATGGCTACTTCCACCATGTCACAAAGCTCTAATCATTTCAAATTGGTTTCTTGAACATGACAATGAGTTCACTGTACTAAAATGGCCTCCACAGTCACCAGATCTCAACCCAATAGAGCATCTTTGGCATGTGGTGGAACGGGAGATTCGCATCATGGATGTGCAGCCGACAAATCTGCGGCAACTGTGTGATGCCATCATGTCAGTATGGACCAAACTCCCTGAGGAATGCTTCCAGCACCTTGTTGAATCTATGCCACGAAGAATTGAGGCAGTTCTGAAGGTAAAAGGGGGTCCAACCCGTTACTAGCATGGGGTACCTAATAAAGTGGCCGGTGAGTGTATATATATATATATATTAGTGCTGGGCAACAATTAATTGCATCCAAAATAAAAGTTTGTGTTTACATAATATATGTGTGTGCACTGTGTAGTTATTTTGTATATATATAAACACACATGCATGTATATATTTAAGAAAAATGTGTTGTTTATATATAATATAAATTGTTCAAATATATATACAATATATACATGCAAATATTTCTTAAATATATTCATGCATGTGTGTCTGTATATATACAAAATAACTATACACAGTACACACACATATATTATGTAAACACAAACTTATATTTTGGATGCGATTAATCGCGAAGTTTTCATATCAGTTAAAAGTTTATGGCATTATCAGAAATGCACTTTTTAAATAATGGGCAATTTGGGCAGATTTTTCTACCCATGCAATTACAGTGTAACAAATATTTTAATTAAATCAGTTCATTGAAATTCTCAATTCGAGCAAATATGGCTATTAGTTATAAAATCAAAGTTACTATTTCAATAATGCCCCAAAAAAACATAGCATAAACTGTTAGAATATATCTGATATATATCAAAACCAATTAAAGAAACAGAACATTTAATGCACATAAAATATAATGTAATAGACATACAAGTTCACCAGAGACCACTGTGATTGATTCACTTATTGACTTGGGCTGCATTTCCCAGAAGTGAATCAAAGAGGGTCCTGCTTAATTTCCGACCCGTAATTCCCCGATCTGTGAAAAGGCTCACTGAGATGGGGTTTGTTTGCCTTGCAGACCTGAGCCGCTCAGCCGCCCCGATGGGAAGTTCGAGACCCCGCAGGATGGTGGCCATCTTTGATTACGACCCGAGAGAAAGTTCCCCTAATGCAGACATAGAGGTGATGTCATTACTATTTATAATATTAGTTAAAAAAAATTTTTTAAAAGAGTCTGCGCTGGGTGAAGTGAGTCTATGCTGAATGGAAGCTTGTTTCCGCCACTGAATAAAAAAATAATAATAATAATTGCGACTTTTTATCTCAGAATTGCGAGATATGAAGCCAGAATTGTGAGAAATAAAGTCGCAATTGCGAGATATAAAGTCGCAAATCTGAGAAATAAAGTCCCAATTGCGAGATAGTCACAATTCTGAGAAATAGTCGCAATTGCGAGATATAAAGTCGCAAATCTGAGAAATAAAGTCGCAATTGCGAGATATGAAGTCGCAATTCTGAGAAATAAAGTCGCAATTGCGAGATATAGTCACAATTCTGAGAAATAGTCGCAATTGCGAGATATAAAGTCGCAAATCTGAGAAATAAAGTCGCAATTGTGAGATATGAAGTCACAATTCTGAGAAATAAAGTCGCAATTGCGAGATATGAAGTCACAATTCTGAGAAATAAAGTCGCAATTGCGAGATATGAAGTCACAATTCTGAGAAATAAAGTCGCAATTGCGAGATATGAAGTCACAATTCTGAGAAATAAAGTCGCAATTGCGAGATATAAAGTCGCAATTCTGAGAAGTAAAGTCGCAATTGCGAGATATAAAGTCACAATTCTGAGAAATAAAGTCGCAATTGCGAGAAAAAAAGACAGAATTGAGACTTTTTATCTCACAATTCTGACTTTTTTTCTCACAATTGCGAGTTTACATCTCGCAATTCTGACTTTATAACACATAATTGCGAGTTTATATCTCGCAATTCTGACTTTATAACCAGCAATTGCGACTTTATATCAATCAATTCTGACTTTATATCTCGCAATTCTGACTTTATAACACATAATTGCGAGTTTATATCTCGAGATTCTGACATCTTTTCTCAGAATTGTGAGATATAAACTCGCAATTGCGAGTTATCAGGCCAATTCTAAGGAAAAAAAAGACTGACTTTTTTCCCCTCAGAATAGTTTGTATCTCACAATTCTGACTTTACAACACGCAATTGCGACTTTATTTCACGCAATTCTGACTTTGCAACACGCAATTGCGACTTTATTTCACGCAATTCTGACTTTATATCTCACAATTCTGACTTTATAAAACGCAATTCTGACTTTGTAACACGCAATTGTGACTTTATATCACGCAATTCTGACTTTATATCTCACAATTCTGACTTTATAACACGCAATTCTGACTTTGTAACACGCAATTGCGACTTTATTTCACGCAATTCTGACTTTATATCTCACAATTCTGACTTTATAACACGCAATTCTGACTTTATATCTCACAATTCTGACTTTGTAACACGCAATTCTGACTTTGTAACACGCAATTGCGACTTTATATCACGCAATTCTGACTTTATATCTCACAATTCTGACTTTGTAACACGCAATTCTGACTTTGTAACACGCAATTGTGACTTTATATCACGCAATTCTGACTTTATATCTCACAATTCTGACTTTATAACACGCAATTCTGACTTTATATCACGCAATTGCGACTTTATATCACGCAATTCTGACTTTACAACACGCAATTGCGACTTTATTTCACGCAATTCTGACTTTATATCTCACAATTCTGACTTTATAACACGCAATTCTGACTTTGTAACACGCAATTGTGACTTTATATCACGCAATTCTGACTTTATATCTCACAATTCTGACTTTATAACACGCAATTCTGACTTTGTAACACGCAATTGCGACTTTATATCACGCAATTCTGACTTTATATCTCACAATTCTGACTTTGTAACACGCAATTGCGACTTTATATCACGCAATTCTGACTTTATATCTCGCAATTCTGATGTAAACTCGCAATTATGAGAAAAAAAGAGTCAGAATTGTGAGATAAAAAGTCAGAATTGCGATTGCAATTACCTTTTTTATTTTTCATTCTGTGGCGGAAACAAGCTTCCACAATGCTGACTGTGTGTGTCTAATGTTTAATGATTCCTCAACATCTCCAGGCTGAGCTGATCTTCAGTGCGGGCGACGTCATCTATGTGCTCGGGGACATGGACGATGACGGCTTCTACTATGTGAGTTACTTCTCCTTCAGTGTTTTTATTTTATTCTGTATGCCTTTTAAGTATATCCATAGCACCGCCCTGCTTCATATTTGCTGAATGAAATCCAATACTTGTTTCTTTACTAATTTTGTGGTGCTGATTCCAAAAATAGTGCCTTAAAGGAGAACTCCGGCGCAAAATGAACCTTTGGTCTAATAAAACATTAGTACCTAGTCAACCGTTCTCTGAGATTTGTTTTCATGATGATCGAATGTAAAGAGTTTTATCTCTAAAAACTGTTTAGCGTATAACGCTAGTAATGGAGGCATCTATTAAGTAAAAATAAATCACTAGTTTATACCACTAACAAGACTCAAAATAGCCCCACACTAACACAGTAACATAATGAGGGTCCCTACATGCAAAACGAAGCATTGAGAACTTTGTAAGTGTACAGACCGTTTAATAAGAAGATATTTTATAAAGACAGTCCACTTCGTGTATACAGACAGGAGCCATCTTTGGAAAACAGTCTTGACTAGTCAAATCACGAACGCCATTCATACAGTTCAGAAGTTCCTGAACTTCATACAGTTCAGCTCACTTAGCATGTTGTTCGTGGTTTGACTAGTCGAGACTGTTTTCCAAAGATGGCTCCTTGCACACTGAGTCCGAAATTTTCATATGGGTTTTTTTGTATTCATGAGTCGGTGGCTCTGAATTGTCAAAACACCATTCAAACTGCTTGCAACGGATGTGAAAAACGCAGAAAATCAAACCCGATTCGATTTTTTTTTTGACGGACGAAAGTTTCGGAGGCAGTGTGCAAGCGTGACTGACATAACGTGAGGTCGTATTTATTTTTTAACGTGCGAAAAATTCGGACGCGAATTTCGGACTCAGTGTGCAAGGGCCTTTACTCACAAAATATGAGCATTTTTGCTTTCGACAACTATTTGTAAGGTGACGAAGTCTTGTATTATCCCTTAATCACCAGAAAAACTGCCTCAAAGACATGATGGTAACACTTTACTTAAAGGGGTGTGCATAAGACTGACATGACACTTTCATAAACATGACATGGCACATGACACATGTCATGAATATGAAGGAGGTTTATGCATGTTTATGACAACTGTCATTAAGTGTCATTCGCTCAATTATGACATTTTTTTTGCAAATATGACATTGTTTGAGATGTCTTTGTTATGACACCTTGACATAAACCAATATATCATAACCTGTCAGTGTCTTGGTCATGACAACTTGACATTACCAAGACAACATAAATTGTCATAAATATGTCATAAACATGACATAGCAGATTAATTATCAAACTTAAGAAACCACTTAGCTTTATGGGTTAACATTACATTAAACTGTCAGGTGGTTGGTTTTGACACTGGCTGTCATAAGGCCATTATAACTGTGTCATGAATATTTTTCTTGGCCTCAACTACAGTGGTACACATTGAATTTGTCATTAAACAGTTATAATGGCCTCATGACAGCCAATATCAAAACCAACCACATGACAGTTTAATGTAATGTTAACCCATAAAGCTAAGTAGTTTCTTAAGTTTGATAATTAATCTGCTATGTCATGTTTATGACAGGTTGTGTTGTCTTGGTAATGTCAAGTTGTTATGACAAAGACACTGACAGGTTATGATGTATTGGTTTATGTCAAGGTGTCATAACAAAGACATCTCAAACAATGTCATATTTGCATAAAAAATGTCATAATTGAGCGAATGACACTTAAAGGATTACCGTAAATCTTCAAATAATAGCCGAGTCCCAAATAGACGCCTGTCTCTTTTACACGCCTGGTGTGGCTGCAGGTTTGGGTAAATAAAGGCCGGTCTCAAATAGAGGCCGGGTCTGTTTTTTAGTTTCGGGTTGTATTCAATCCTCTAAAACCGTCAGATTGTCCGCTTTTTGGCCGCCGCCAAAGTAAATTTTTGTCCCTCCAAAGCCTTTTTTGATCGATGAGTGATGTAGAATAGAATGACTGCTGCGCTTGACAGGGCGCGTTACGAGAGAGAGAGCGCCCCGGCCGCGCGCGCGCACACACTCTCACGTCTTCAAACAACACGAGCGCTGTCTTGCTCTCTCTCCCTCGCGCATATTAATCAAAATCAATTGACGCGATAGTAAAAGGTCGGAAGACCGCAGTTTCACGTGGAGCATTTGGAGATTTTTAGAGATTAGAGACAGGCCTATAGGTTACACTCAATGAACAACATCTCAACACTAAATTATAAAGGCCTGTCTCATATAGTATTTGTATTTGATTATATGTATTTGACATATATGTATTTGAGACAAGCCCCTGTCTCAAATACAAGCCGGTGCAGTTCGACGATTCGGGAAAATAAAAGCCCGGGCTACTATTTGAAGTTTTACGGTAGTTCACTTTAAAAAAAACTTTTGCTGATAATTTACTCACCCCCATGTCATCCAAGATGTCTTTCTTTCTTCAGTCGAAAAGAAATTAAGGTTTTTGATGAAAACATTCCAGGATTTTTCTTTATATAATGCACTTTGCTGGGCACCAAACGGTTCAAGGTCCAAAAGACAGTTTCAGTGCAAACTGCAAACTGTTCAAAGGGCTTTAAACGATTGGAGACGATGAATAATGGTCTTATCAAGCGAAACGATCGCTCATTTCAAAAATAAATAGCAAAGTTTAAGTTTTATAAGCTCAAATGCTCGCCTTGCTCTGTTCTGTGTGACTCTCCTGTTCGAACTCGTTCATCAAAATGAACAAATCTTTTTTTGAGTCATTTGGTTCATTTAACGAACGAAATGAACGAAATGACTCGGAAAAAGATTAGTTCATTTTGATGAACGAGTTCGAACAGGAGAGTCACACAGAACAGAGCAAGGCGAGCATTTGAGCTTATAAAACTTTTTTCAAAATGCAGGGCTGCGTAATAAATCGTGTGAAAGTATTGTGTTATGATCAAGTATGATTGACCGCGTATAAGCAAAGCAGCAGTGCATGATGGGGTTTTGCTGATGTTTTCAGGGCGATCTCAACGGACACAAAGGCCTCGTTCCTTCCAACTTCCTGCAAGCTTTCCCTGAGCCGGAAGAGGACGCCGTGGCCGAGAGCCGCAGAGACTCACAGGTGTGTGTTCCCTGCATGCATTACCGCCAATCATTGCACGCATCTTCCATTCTGTTCTGTCCATCACAGCGTAACCGTGTCATTGATTAACAGCATTAGTTTCTCCAGCTGTCGTTTGTTCTGCATGTCGTCTTATGTGTGTTTTATCTCTTTGTGTTTGTTTTATTTTTGCATGGTTTTCAGAAGCACAGGAGAGGTGTTCACTTTAAACAGTGACCGTAAGTCTTTCATAGATCTGAAACCCTCTCTAGTGTCTCCTTTCCTAAACACAGGGACTCTAAACTTCATTCTGTGAAACTGATGAATTATACCTTAAAGGGGTCATATAATGGTACATGCACTTTATAAGTTGATTGTACTGAAATGTGTGTTAGCAGTGCCTGTACACAACCATCATATAATGATAAAAATCCATCCAGTGTTTTTGTTTTAATCTCCTTATATGTTCCAGTCTCAAATTGAGACGTTCGTTTTTGTGACGTCAATACAACGGACGCCCCTCCCACGATTGTTGATTGACAGCATCGTTTCAACACAGACCCGCCCTCGCTCGTGAGAGCTGTCAATCATAGTCTGCGCGGACCGGCGCGGTCATTGTTGATATGCTGGAGCACTGTCTATGAGCAGAATGGTGTCTAAGCGATTGTGCTGTTCTGTTCTTGGGTGTAATAACGAACACAGTCATTTTAATGTTCCTAAATCCGAACCGCTGAAGACGCAGTGGCTGAGTTTGTTTTCGAAGGGAATATTCCACACGAGCAACGTCAATGCTCTCATGTTTGCGCGAATCTTTTCTCACCAGACTGCTTTATAAACGAGGGTCAGTATAAAGCTGGTTTTGCTAAGAAGCTGCTCCTGAAAAAAGAATCTGTACCAACTATTCATGTTCCCTCTGCACCTCCAGAAGAAGTGAGTGTAAGTTGTATTAACCTTTATATTAATCTTAGCAAATCGCGAAAAAAAAGTTTTTCATGACCATTAGCTGTAACGTCAATCTGTCAATGAATTAACGTATACAGGGCTCTCAAGTGTCACGCATTGAGCGTGACAGTCACTCATTTCGGTCTTTTGTCACGCTCTCCCGCCACACATTGTATTTTTCACACTGAAAAAATATTTGTAATGTATTTAATATGCCGCAGCGCCCAAAACTCTGGCCTCGCTGCTCTCACTGTGGAACCGGGATGAATCAAGCGCGTTTCCTCTGGTGTTGTTCGTCGAGCTACACAATAGCCAATCAGAAAATAGCACTATTGTATCTGGGCAAGATTTAACGCAACAAGTCAAGTCAAGTCAAGCCAAGTCAAGTCATCTTCATTTATATAGCGCTTTTAACAATGGAGATTGTTTCAAAGCAGCTTTACAGAGATAAACATACAATTTACGGTAACAGAGATTGTTTTGGCTTTATAGCGATTTTGAATAATGTTATTTCAGGCTAAAGTTAGTTTTGATTGATTCACTTCCAGCAAAATGATCATTTGTTATTACATTAGGGGCCACTAAGACGACGGCGTTCTCTCTAAACAGACTTTAAACGCGAACCTGTGACCGGATGACGTTCACATGCGCATTAAGAACTGATTCTATAGTTATATTCGTTTGAATATATGTGCGCAGGTTTGTAATTTCCCTACAAACCATGCCTAAACAAACTACTTGTCTTGCCTATAAATTTGATACAGAATTTTATTTTATCACTTTGGGGTACGCGAACCGGATTTTCAACAACGCTTTATCTGTAGAGTGGGAAAGGGATCCTCCATAGGGAGAGGATAGTTGACACTTCAGCACTGCATTGTCATCGGGTCCAGGCGAATCTCCTTCGTCAGATCTGGACACGGCCTGGATCCGGCAGGCTGCAGGAAAACCTCGGGATAAACAAAGACACTAAAGTTAGCGTAGATGCCATTCTTCTTGTGATGTAACGAGTACATCTGGATTTAAGGGAAGTGTTCCCAGTTCCGAGCAACAACCAATAACAAAAATGTATCCTAACCCCCCCCCCCCCCCCCCCCCCTCCCCCGTCGGCTGGGTGTCACTCTTACCTGTCTTCAAAACTTGAGAGCTCTGCGTATACATCATTAATAAACACATAGAGTTCGTATCTCTCTACTGTACCCTGCCAGTGCATACAAAGATAGATCAAAGTGACATTACGTTAACCAACCATTCAGAAACGTCCTGTTCGAGCCTTAATTGTCGAACTTCTTTGCGGCCGCCATCTTGTTCCGGGTGCGACTCCGGTTCAAACTGATACGGTTGCTCAGATGTGTCCTCAGAGACTCCCGCTGCCGTTCTCTCTCCAAAATATCCCCTCAACTGTTGTCAAGGCAACACTCCCATGCGTTGTGTCGAAACGCCCGCAGAACAGAGGGGCGGAGTCAGCGAAGCTCATTATCATTTAAAGGCATATGCACTGAAACGGCGTGCTGAAAACAGAGCTGTTTTTGACCAGGTAAAATGAGTGTTTTCTTACAATACTAATGAGAATTTTTAATTAAAGTATATTACAAACTTTTAATTTAGACCCTAAAGAATCAAATTAACTTGTATGAAAATGGCATTATATGACCCCTTTAATTATACCAGAGATGAATGTGTTAGTTTGAAATGACACATCCTCAGTTACTCGCCCTCTTTTTCCCCAAACCCGTATGAGTGTCTTTCTTCTGTGGAGCACAAAAGGAGAGTGTTTTCTAAGCTGTCGAGCTCAGAAAAAGACACAAAATAATATTATTATATTTTATAGATCCAATTTAGTAGAATCTCAAATTATGCATTGAGAAAAAAATGCACATTGCATCAAACTCTCTTCCTTTACACAATTTTACAATGATATATCATCCCTTAAAACTATTTTTTTTAAACCATTTAGGGTTGATTTATTTTTATTTCAGTATTAGTTTTAGTTTAGTTTTAGTTTAGTTTTTATTGATTTCTAGTTAGCAACATTTCTAATTTAGTTTTTACTTCTATTTATTTATTTAATGTTTTATTTTAGCTTTATTTCAGTTAACAAAAATGATTCAGTAATTTTAGTTTTAGTTAACGATAATAACCCTGATTAATAACCCTGATATGGAGCCCAAAATTCTTCAAAATAGCTTTTGGGCCCTATCTTGCACTCGGCGCAAATGACTTTGTACACTGACGCATGTATCATTCCTATTTTGCACCCACGCAAAGCGGACTTTTCCCTCCACAGACGCACGTCGGTTAACTAAGAAATACACTTGCGCTCCCCGGGGCGGTTCAGCGCAAAGAGGAGGCGTGTTCCGGCGCAAACTTTCCCTCATGCTATTTTGCTGTTCTATGTAACAATTGCACCACTGACCAGAAAAAAAATAGTCTAAAGTCAGTGGCGCGTTGCGCGTTGTTCATTATGCTATTTTAAGGGCGCATGCTTGGCCATAATCACTAAGCAGCAGTTTTCATTTTTGCAAATCATACATTATTACGATAGATAGATAGATAGATAGATAGATAGATAGATAGATAGATAGATAGATAGATAGATAGATAGATAGATAGATAGATAGATAGATAGATAGATAGATAGATAGATAGATAGATAGATAGATAGATAGATAGATAGATAGATAGATAGATAGATAGAAGCATGTAGCTTACACATTTACCCAAATTATCATACGCCTGTTTAACAGAAGTTAATTTGGGTGGGTTTCTCCATCCCCAATGTCACTTCTCTGTGTTTTACGGCCCTGACGAGAACGTTGCTCTCCTCGGCTGTGAACTGCTCCTGGCGCGCGCCTGCAAATCCGCCGTTATAATAGGAATCCGCTTTAGAACAAGCGCACCTGCTCTTAAAGGGAATGTGATATGACGCTCTGATTGGTTTATTTCACGTTACGCCCAAACCACACCTATGAATAATGAAGCTACTTCAGGCCAACCCCTTTTAGATTTGCGCCAGGCGCAAGAGGCATTTATCCCGCCGGGAAAATAGCAACAGCGCCGGGATCCGCCCACAAAGTTACTTGCGCTTTACGCTTTGACACTTGCGTTTCAGATCGTTAAAATAGGGCCCTATGTGTTCTACAGAAGAAAGTGGCTGAAAAATGATGAGATTTTTAATTTTTTAGCTGTACTAGCCCTTTAACCTTAAATCAGTATTTCATGTTCATTTGTTGTCTCTTCATGTCATGGTTTCTCTCTCCCTTCTCCTCATGAGCTGGTTTGGTATTTGAGCGGAAGCATTTTTAAGATCATGTCAGTGTGTGTCAGATCTGGCTCTGTGTGTTTCTGTTGCTACTTTGGATCCCCACAAAATCTCATGTAGGCGGCCATTTTACATAGAGAGCTCTCTCAAGGACATGTTTAATAAGATCCTACCAGAATTGTTTTTCGCATTTTCCTCATATTTATATATATATATATATATATATATATATATATATATATATATATATATATATATATATATATATATATATATATTAAAACACATTTTATTGTATTTTATTTTTTATTTTATTTTATTTTAATTTATTTATTTTATACAACTCTCATGTAATTAGTAGAAAGTTAACTCTCTCTCAGCTCTTTTTTATTTTTTATATTTATTTTATTATTATTTTAATTGTATGTCCTTTTATTTTATTTAATTACATTTATATATATTTATTTGAAATTTGAAAAATTTTATTAATTTTTTTTTATTTTATATATATATATATATATGTATATATATAGGCCATGAGACGGGACCCCAAATTTGGGCTACCGGTACCATTTTGAGGGATTAAATTTCTTTTTGATTTTCATGAAGGTACACATCTCTAGTGTTGGAAAATGTGTGATAGCATCCGATCCATGGTAGCTTTCATTAGAAATCAACACTTATATCATCCTACCTCAAGTTAAGGTGTTCAGTGACTACAACAGAGAAAAATGTATCCTTTTATCATTTTTTTAATTTATTAAAAAAATAATAATTTTTTATTATCAAAATTTATAAAATTTTATAAAAATGTATAAAATTTTATAAAATTATTTTAAAATTTAAAATTTATTTAAAGATAAATTCATTTATCCTTTTTCTTGATATATGTTTGAAAATCGTCCTCCGTAACCAAAAACTACCTTGAATCTAATGCTATCACACATTTGTCAAATACAGGGTCATATACCTACACAAAATTCACCATGCGGTTTAATCCCTCAAAATGGTACCAATCAACCCTCTGTCTCACGGCCTAATATATAATAAAAAAAATTAATAAATTTTTCAAATTTCCATCATACATATATTTAAAATACATTTTATTTATTTATTTTATTCTTTATTTAGGCCTATTTTATATTTTTTTTATTTTTTTTTATTTTTTTTATACAACTCTCATGTTAGAATTTTATACAACAACTCTAATTAGTAGAAAGTTAGCTCTCTCTCAGGTCTTTTTTTATTTATTTTTTATATTTTATTATTATTTTAATTTTATGTCCTTTTATTTAATTTCATTACATTATATATATCAAATAAAAAAAATTATAAATGTTTTAAAATTTTCATCATACATTTAAAACACTTTTTTTATCTTTATTTTTTTTCATTAATTTCATTTTATTTTTTACAACTTTTATTTCATTTCATTGCATTATATATATCAAATAATAATAAAAAAATATTAAATTTTTCAAATTTTCATCATACATTTAAAACATTTTTTTTTCTTTTTTGTAACTAGTAGAAAGTTAAGCTCTTTCTCAGCTCTTTTTTTATTTATTTTTTTATATTTATTTTATTATTATTAAAATTTTATGTCGTTTTATTTAATTGAATTACATATATATATATATATATATATATATATACACTACCGTTCAAAAGTTTGGGGTCGGTACGATTTTAAATACTTTTAAAAGAATTCTCTTCTGCTAACCATGGCTGCGCTTATTTGATTAAAAATACAACAAAAATCAGTTATAGTATTAAATATTATTCCAGTGTAAATCAGCTGTTTTCTGTGTGAATATATAGTAAATTGTAATTTATTCCTGTGATCAAAGCTGAATTTTCAGCATCACCAGTGTCAGTGTCTTCAGTGTCAAATGATCCTTCACAAATCAGTATAATATGAGGATTTGATGCTCAAGAAACATTTATTATGATTATCAATGTTGAAACAGTTGTTGGTCTGTCAGTTGTACAGTGTTTTTTTTTTTTTTTAGGATTCTTTGATGAATAGGAAGTTCAAAAGAACAGCATTTGTTTGAAATAGAATCTTTTGTAACATTATAAATGTCTTTACTGTCCTTGATAAATAAAAGTATTGATTTCTTTCCTCCAAAAAATAAAAATAAAATTCTCACTGACCCCAAACTTTTGAACGGCAGTGTATATATATATATAAAAAAACTATAAAATATTTTTAATTTTCATCATACATACATTAAAACATATTTTATTTCATTTTGTATTTTTTTATTTTTTATATTTATTTTATTATTATTTTAATTGTATGTCCTTTTATTTAATTTAATTACATATATATATATATATATATATAAATGTAATTACATTTTTTAAATTTTCATCATACATACATTTAAAACACATTTTATTTCATTTGTATTTTTTAATTAATTAATTTTTTTAATTTAATTGAACTCTTATGTACTCATGTTTTGCCTTGCGTCTGCCAGGTGAGCCAAACAGAATCGTCTGAGCATCTGGACCCCGTGAGCTGCTCTCAGCCAGACCCGGATCCCCCAGCTCAGCCTGACCCGACCCCTGACCCGAGCCCGGCCCTGACCCGCTCTCCTCCGCTCCCCGAGAAGAAGAAGAAGGGTTTCTTCTCCAAGGGCAGAAAGCTCTTCAGAAAGCTGGGCTCCAGCAAGAAGGAGTAGCGCATCGGCTGTGAGCGGGGCGGATCTGCAGATTGCACTTTTCCTCGTGTGTGTGTGTGTGTGTGTGGTGTCAGTGTGAGTGTGTGACCGAACAATAGGAGAATCGTTCTCATTCTCAGATTTTTTGCCATTATGACGCAAATTTACCAGCGCTTTCGTGTGTCGGACTGTTTCTTCTTTTTGCAAGGCAAATAATCGCAATAGAAGTTTCACCAAAGCTGTGAATAGAGCTCATGCTAACTTTAATAACAGCATCTAGACATGAAATAACAATCAAGCATCATCCACTGAAAGGCAAAGCACACTTATGAGGAGATATGAAATAACGTTGATTCCAAGAATTCTGGAAAATAACACGAGGAGTGACAAAATAAAAGTCACTACAGAAATATTTTGCACTACAAGTAAGGGTCCAAGACTGCAGAACTGTGTCCCTCCCTTCATCCGCTTTACGCTGAGGATGATGATGATGATGTTTCCTGAAGATTATTCAAACCAGTGAGTGATTCTGACTCAAAACTCAAATCTGTGCATATTATTCCAGGAGAAAATATGAATGATCACAGACGAGGCTGAAAGCTTCTCCTATGTTTGATAGTACATCCCAGTTGCAGTTCAATCCATATTATTATTACCGGTATTATTATTCTACTGAGAATAGCGTTTTATTATATTCTACACACTTATGTGCTTTTTTCATTGAGATTAATCAATGAGGATTTCGTTATGCGTTATTATTTAAAACTTTCATTGGCTCAAACTATAAACACAACATTTATTGTCCGCTTCGACTCCTTGATTTATGTAATTTGCATGATGAAATGGCATTTTGAACCACGTTATTTTGATGCGTCTGTAAACGCGATATCGTGCGTCTGATTCTGTACAGGTTTTATTGATCATAATGAACTGTGTTTTAGTTCAGCTTTGCCTTTTCTCAAACTCGTCGACATGGAACTCTAATAACAATAATAATTCATTCACTTATGTCTGATATGGTGTAAATGTACGTGTGTGTGAGACAGAAACATTGGCTTCTTTCTGCATGAGCTCTTGTCTTAACTTTTTCTCAATGTAATTGTTTTGTTCCTCTTTTCTTTTCCTCCGTTTTAGGAGCGTTGTAAAGTCACAGCATGTGAGCATAACACCACACACACACACACACGCGCAACACACACTCATATCGCAACTTGTAACACCCTGCTAAAGTTAGTTTGAAATGCTAGCATGTGTTTTCTGGTCTCACAGGGCTCATGTCAAATGATTTCTCAGGTTTTGCGTCTTAAGTCAGCTCGCGCTCATCTTAGGCGAGACTGTCCGAAACACACAGTTGATCTTGCCAAAAAACTACAGCGACTAACAACCAATCACAGAGCGCCAGCCGTTTAGAGGGGTGGAGCTAGGGCCACGACCTCACAGACAGGAAGTAGGTTTCAAACGTTCAACCGAATACACTGCAAAAAGAACATACTTAAATCAAGAGAAGCAAAATTATTATAGTCTTGTTTTCTGAAAAATGTGTGTGTTGCTTAAAACAAGAAAAATATCTGCCTATTCCCTTTGAATTACGCTTATTTTTCTTGTTTCATGCATAAACTTTCATGCATTCTTTGGAAAACTTGCTTTGCTTTGAAAATAGTTGTTTTGCAGTGTAGGCAGAAAGCATTGTTATCAGCATTACTTCATGCTACTTTGATTGCACTGAATTATTATAATGCATTAAACAAGCTTATCTTCTGGGTAGCGATGCACTGTACAGCCGCTGGATCTACACACTCCCCTCGCTGCACTATAGTCCAGACGCATGCTGTGATTCCCTCGCGGAGCGCACACACCTGACCCTAACCGTCGCTACTGCAAGTAGGCGTATCCTAGGCCATAATAAACTAGCCTTATAAGACCTTGCTTAGTCTTAACTTCAAGTTTACCACAGCTGTGTTTGTAATGACTGCATGCATGATGGGTTTCCATCTATACTCGGCCTTATTTATTCTATTTATGTGTTGTAGTAGTTGCACGTACCTCGCGTTTGTGTGTTTTGCAAAAATGATGTTCTTCCTCGGTGTTTTGTCCACTGTGAATATCCAAACGTTCTCAAATCATGATGCAAAATGACTGAAGATACAGGTGAAACTCGAAAAATGAGAATATGGTGCAAAGCAAAAGTTCATTTATTTCAGTAATTCAACTTAAAAGGTGAAACTAATATATTATATAGACTCATTACATGCAAAGTGAGATATTTCAAGCCTTTATTTGTTATAATTTTGATGATTATGGCTTATCTTATGAAAACCCCAAATTCAAAATTAGAATATTGTGAAAACATTTTCATATCTGTAAGCCATAATCATCAAAATTATGACAAATAAAGGCTTGAAATAGCTCACTTTGCATGTAATGAGTCTATATAATATATTAGTTTCACCTTTTAAGTTGAATTACTGAAATAAATTGCACCATATTCTAATTTTTCGAGTTTCACCTGTATCAAGTTATGTGAAAATGAACCGACCAATAAGGGCGGAAAAATCAACTTAATTTAAAGGGAAAACGAGATCATTTTCTGACCCCATTTGTTCTTGTTTCAAGCATTTTTCCTAAGTAAATATGCATCTTGATTTAAAAATGTTTATTTGCACTGGAACACAAGACCGAAAGAAACTCATTTGTTTTGCTGTGCGGTGTTGAAGGTCGGTGTATTTTTGTGATTCGAGGTATGATATTTTCATACGTTCAGAAAGAGACTCTATTCTTGTGTCTGTAGCAGAAGGTGGATGTGTTTTGTACATTTTTCTAATGCGTTTTATGTGTGGAAACTTACCTGTAAATAATGCTTCTCTTGGGTAAAGTATTTTTTGTGCATGCCGAAACCATGTTTTTGGATAGTCACACGGGCATCATGCTTCGTGAGGGACGTCGTAGTGATTTACTTGAATGACTTGTTGCAATATGGACTTTTTACAGAAATAAAGTATATTTTCACATAAAATGAGTGCGTGTTGTGAATGATGAGAGACGAAACCATGTTTTATTTCTTTGTTTTATTGAAGTTTTCAAACACCGCATTGCATTTCAGAAGACGCATGTTTTGGATGATTTGGCTTTAGTTTCTGTAAGCGCACCACCGTCTCACGTGGACGTGTTTTGACACTATGAGACGTGTGCGGCTTTACGAAACAAAGCGACTTCCTCTTTTCTCTTTCCCGTCGTTCTGCGTCGAGCGCCGTGAAGTTTCCCAGCAGCCAACAGTACACTCATCCATAAAGTAGGAAACACTACACTGTGGCGAGGGGTTTAGTAGTGCTTTCTACTTTATGGATGACTGCACTGTACATCCAAGTGTCCAGGTGTCCACGTCTCCTCTCTGGAGCTCCTGATAAACGCTTGAGATCTCAAGCTCCTCCTCCTTCACACACACACACACACACACTTGTGCACAACATGTGAACCCCACCCAAACTTCACACAGCCTTTAAACTGCTATTTGAACAAACGACATGCGAAATCAAACAGTTTTCGCAGTTCATTGAACCAAATTATTTGGTGCACAATGTTCAAACTTACAACAAATATCCTGCAACAAACATTTAGTTGAAGTGCATTAAAGTCTATACACAATTACATCAACTTTTGAAAACGGCTGGATTGAAATAAAAATGTTAGAAATGCTCAATGCGTCACAAAACCAACATCTTCCCTTTACATCACACGGCAGCCATTTTGATCTACATGAGTACGCCTTTTTCCATCAAACGAAGGCGTTTTCTCACAGATACATATTTAAAATGCTCGTGTGTATTAAAAAAAGAAACTGCTATGATAGAAAAAAATCTGAAAAAAAAAAAAAAAAAAAAAATTCAATGTGATTAGTTAATAATCAATATTTAAATACAGCACTGTTTGTTGCATTCCAAAAACTGTGGACTTTTAACATTTTAGCTTAACAGAAACAATTCTTAAAAAATAATTCGACTATTATCAAACAGATTTTGTACATGCGTCAATGGATAATCCGACATCAGGTGAAAAATGTGAAAATATTAATGCAGAAGATTAACACATAAAGTTACGCATCATGTGATACAGTAATAAAGACACACAAATAAATGTATTCTAGTATAACCATAGGCATACGTTACCCATCCGCACTTCTCTGGCTGGGTTACATCCGCCCCAGTACTGATAAATCTGCCCAGTTCTTCCTCCAGTGCTCCTTTAGCGTCTTCCTCTCCAGCCCAAGTAGAAATGGGCCTAAAAGAGGAGAAGTGCTGCTATTTAACCTCGCTGCCAACCACGTGTTCCTCAACCACACCGGAAGAGGCACAACAGTCAGATCCTCACGCTCTTCTGTCATTCGCTGCTTCTGCCCACCGCTCACGCATATTCACGTCTGAAGACACACAGCGTCCGTGACGTCTGTATTTAACAGGTGCATGGAGACTCAAAACTCATCTAGGGGTCTCAGTTCAGGTTAGAATGATTAAATAGCGCGAATAATAAAAACTTGCTTTGTTGCACCAATATGTACTCAATTAAAAAAAGGATGCAAACTTTAAAATGAGGGGGTCGAATGTTTAAGAAGGTTTAAATGAACACACACACACATGTCATAGATAAGGGTTACTCAGGCTTATCTTGCTCTCTGTTCTCCTGAGCTCTTTCGGTTTGTTGCCTAACAGTTGCAACACGAGAGGAAATGCCAAAGTGTGTCTCTTGAATCCCCATCAGAGGGAAGTGAATGGGAGAAACCGCGCCAGGACTTTAGCAAACTGAGCGAGGTCGAACTCAACGCAGAATCCAGACCGAGAAATGCACAGCGCACTGAATTCATGTCTAAAATGAAGTAGATGATGCCTAAAAGATATGATCTGTTCAGGCACAGGAAGAGCAACTCGCGTCTGTGTGTGTGTGTGTGTGTGTGTGTGTTATTTCCTGTGTGCAACACCTGCAAAAGATATGCATACATACTGACTGAACAAATGCTGGTGCTTATATATTATTTATTTCACAAAGCATTTATGATTGCACGACGCAAGGAACGTCTTCCCGCTGTGGTTTAGTTTGACGTTTCTGCTCAGGATTAATGAGACTAATGATTAATGTGTGTGTGTGAATGTGATTTTTAACCCAGATCTCTAGAACGTGGTGGTTTGAAGAGGGTCTGAGCGGTTATTGACATGCACACGAGGTTTAAAACCACAGCGTTCATCTCTTTCTTCTTTATATCTGAACAAGGACAACAGAAGCTTCCTTCTCACTTCGGTCCGAAGGCCTGAGCGTTCATTCACCGGCCCGGGTTTCAATTCCCCAGCTCTCTTTATCAGACCAGCCTTTCAAAGTCTGTTTGCAACCATGACAACCTGACGAGACGATGTGTGTGAGAGCTGAGCCGGGGGATTTTTTTAAGTGTGTGTGTGTGTGTGTGTGC